CCCTGGAAGGGTGAGGAGGTAGGTAGAGTGGAAGACAAAGTTTGTATATGCAGTCTCCTGTTCTTTGTAGGAGTACACACATCAGGGATTATAGTTGCCAAATTGTCAATAAATAACTGCACTACGGCGCTTTAAAGACGTTAGCATTTTGGTAGTATCTATTATAACAGTTCAACGGTAAAAAGTATATATCCACACTGTGTGAAACATGACACCACAGACGCAGGATTTTGATAACCCTACGGAACAGGAGTCTTATTGATCATTTCGAAGTTCATCGGAACCTTCTGGACAAAAACTTTTTCCGTGTTGTAAGTCACGGTGAACTAACCGACCGGCTACTCAGCTGACAAGCTGTAAAATAGGATGATAAGCTTAGTAAGCAAAGAAACCATTACACATCTCTGTACCAAGTCATGTGTTGCTTTATTTAACCCTTCAATGCGATTCCCGCTCATTATCATTTTATTCTGGCTGCCGCCTGACGATTTTTTATAGTTTAGGGAAACCTCATGCAAGCAAAGGGTTATTTTTCAAATTAAAGATAAAATGTGTGCAATGATTGCGTCAGTGTGCGCGCGCGCGCTGTGATAGGTCTTCCATAAAGCAGGGTAATTAAGATAATTACACACTTCACCCTCTCTACCACGTTTGAAGAGTCTTTACTAAATCAACGAGATTACATGTGTAACTTTTATATAGAAAGCTTGAAAGATATTCTGGTTATTAAGGAATACTACCCAGGCTCCCCTGGGCAAGGTTTACGACGTCAGTGCACGCTTAACTTCATTGTTGTGAAGAGGAAAGGACCGGTCTCTCAAAGCCTCGTACAATGAATATCCCTCACAACTGAAGATATAAGTATGCACCCAACTGTTTGACTTACTGTAAAGTTAAGACATAAAGTGGAGACGTATTACAGTTATGCTGAGCCTACCTTAACTTGGTACTGTACATGCATTCAATATTAAGGTAAAACTTTTTCTAAAGATTCATTAATTTTGTCTTACTGGTAATAAGTAAAGATTTCAAGTTAAGGTAAATTAGCAGTAAATTTTTTATACTATTTTTAAACTTTTATTTACGTTTTAGCCTAAGTCAACCATTTAGGTGTGTTCCTACACCGTTACTAACCTTTGAGAACCAGGGTAGGCGTTATACTACTACTGTTGAGAGCTGAAGCTTAATTATATATAATTACCTTAGATATGTAACACGGTCGTTGACAGTGAATTATGTTGAACCGATAAATGATATTGTTAAATAGTTATAAAATTTCAGCATCTAAACTCTTTCAGTAAAGTAGCGGTATATATATATATATATATATATATATATATATATATATATATATATATATATATATATATATATATATATATATATATATATATATACATATACATATACACACATACCGCGCAAGCTAATATTTTGTTGCATAACTCAGCGAGGACAAGTGACGTCACGGGTGAGAGGATATTTTACATTGATCACCTCGGCACCTCCCTCACTTGGTCCCTATTCCTGCCTCTTATCGCGTCTTTGGTTTATTAATGTCACAAGTGAAAACATTAATCTTAGTAAACCTGTTTACCACAGCAGCAGGTGTGTCATCTGTTTTATTAAAAGTATACTGACTGTACACAGCTCAGTCACCATTCCCGCCACTCCTGTTATCCCTGCCGTGCCGCCACTCCTGTTATCCCTGCCGTGCCGCCACTCCTGTTATCCCTGCCGTGCCGCCACTCCTGTTGCCGTGCCGCCACTCCTGTTATCCCTGCCGTGCCGCCACTCCATCCCTGCCGTGCCGCCACTCCTGTTATCCTGCCGTGCCGCCTGTTATCCCGTGCCGCCCTCTGTTATCCCTGCCGTGCCACTCCTGTGCCGCCACTCCTGTTATCCCTGCCGCCGCCACCATCCTGTGTGCCGCCACCTGCCGTACCGCCAGTTATCCCCTGCCGTCCCTGCCGTGCCGCCACTCCTGTTAGCCGTGCCGCCCCTCCTGCCCCTGCCGCCCACTCCTGTTATCCCTGCCGTGCCGCCTCTTATCCCCCCGTGCCGCCACTCCTGTATCCCTGCGTGCCGCCACTCCTGTTATCCTGCCCTGCCGTCTGCCTGCGTGCCGCCACCTGTTACCCCTGTTATCCCTGCCGTGCCGCCACCTGTTACCCTGCTGCCACTCCTGTTATCCCCGCCACCCTGTTATCCCGTGCCGCCACCCTGTTATCCCCTGTGCCCCTGTTATCCTGTCGTGCCGCCACTCCTGTTATCCTGTCGTGCCGCCACCCTGTTATCCCTGTCGCCGCCACTCCTGTTATCCCTGTGCCGCCCTGTTATCCTGTTATCCCTGCCGTGCCTGTGCCGCCATCCTGTTATCCCTGCCGTGCCGCCTCCTGTTATCCTGCCGCACCGCCACCCTGTATCCCCTGTGCCTGTATCCCTGCGCCGCCACTCCTGTTATCCCTGCCGTGCCGCCACTCCTGTTATCCCTGCCGTGCCGCCACTCCTGTTATCCCCTGCCGTGCCGCCACTCCTGTTATCCCTGCGTGCCGCCATCCCTGTTATCCCAAGCCTGCCGTGCCGCCCTGTTACTGCCGTGCCGCCACTCCTGTTATCCCTGTCGTGCCGCCACTCCTGTGCGTGAAATACTACTTGTCGCCGAAGACAAGTACTAGGAAGTCTTACAACGTCAAACTTCTCCTGACAACCAGTAGAAAGGATCCTTAAGGTGACTAAAACATTAATATAAAACGAATAAAACCTGAGTTAAGAAGAACTACTAGAAGAAAAAAAAGTGTGATGGTCATTGACTTCGTTAAGTAGGACCTGGAAAAAGAAAATCCTCCCTCGCGCACAAAAATCTTAAAACCTTTATTGGTCAGATACTGGAAGGTGAGAATTGGGCTGACAAAACTTAGCCCAAAAAAAGAAAAAAATCCCGGGACGAAAAAAAAAAGGCGTACGTATAGAATTAAGAGGTGGTAATACAATGTGACGCGGGAGGTGTGTCGTGATTCGTTTCAACGTGGCAGACTGACTTGGGGGTGGCAGGAGGTGGTGGTGTGGCACAAGGTGAGCAACCCCCACGGTCATTCACAACCTTCTCCGTCCTGTGTCTATTCTGGCAGCTGCTCACGCCTCCTGCCTGTGATGTACTGAGGATGAGACCATACACGTGCGTTCTATCTATCTTTTTCGTACATTGGTTGTGTGACTTATTATTTTTTTTTTATTATTATTAATATTATTATTATTATTATTATTATTAATTGTAGTAGTAGAAGTATTTCTCATAACTGCCTCCAATTCTGTGTGTAGAAGCTAATATTTTTTATAAATTAAACGACGAGCCTGTCACATTTTATTAGGCTAATATATACTATTTCACTTATAATAATTTTTTGTTATCTTTAATCTAATTTAACTTGCGAGCCTATTAGACAGTCATAACACTTATGACGGCCACAGAGCCTAGTTCATGTGTTTGTATTTTTATCGACTATTATAATGTGCGTTTGACAACATCTCGTCCATCTTATCAACGTCACTTTGTTACTGTGGTAAGCTTCTCTTTCTCTCGTTCCTGTGTGTTGTCAGTAACTGGGCGGGAACAAACAGTAATTCCGCCACGCAACACAGTCATGGCTAGTTGTCACGCATGTTGCAACGGAAAAAAAAACTGTACAATTTCACACTGAACAAAATCTTATCAGCTAGAGGAAATTCCACCAACTCGTCTCCCCTAAGGTGCAAATACTGTACCCTGTAAGATAGGTTGTTTTAGGTGAGGTTAGGTTAGTTAAGGTGAGGTTTGTTTATACAGCATTAGGTTACGCTACGTTAGGTCATATTATTAGGTTAAGTTGAAGTAAGTGGGTAATTTAATACTTTTATATTTTTTCTTAATGATCTTTGCTCACACAATCTAGTAATTTTTATTTTTCACATTTTATTTCTCTCATAATAGGCGTTGAGAACTGACCGTGTTTGTCTATTCACAAGAGTAAAAGTTGACAAGCTTAAAATGGATCTTTGTTGGTTCGGATACTTAGTTTTGAAGTTTTGAATTCTATATTGAACTGTATACCCAAATATTTGTTCTGACATTTTTCTTCTTTTCTGCTCATCGCCGTAATTGTTTACATTGATCATGAGTGTGAAAGAACCATGCACGAGTATTTCTGTGATAATACTGTGACACTGACTTTACTCATGTGACGACCACCTACGGCGTAGGCAGCAGGGTGAGAGGGGCTCTGATTGACGTCACACGGGGAATTAGCTGATAATGTGGTGGTGTTGATGCTTCGTCAGCTGAACGTGTGAGGGCGTTGACGTGGGCAACTGGTCACGAGATGTTATTCTTAGAGTCAGTAGGTCACGTAACGTAAGAATCACAACAGATTGAAGTCTTTCTAATTTCTTGTCATAATTACATAATATATTCAACATATTTTAAACAAAACAAAGAAAGTTCTTCATGATGGAAGCCGATGATAGATGTAATAAGTCCTGGCGAATTATTCACTTCAAAGTTGGAAGGAGTGGAGGGTGCTGAAGGCGAATGACCTTGACCTTCAACCGATAAGCAGCAAACCGTCTGGAAATTAAAGGCATTAAGTCAAAGCACTTAGGAGGTAGAGTAGTAAACCCTACACAGTGGTACTTAATGACCTTATCAGCCCTAAAAACTGAAGAGGTGGGATTTTTTTCTGGTAATTAAAACAAGTGAATACATTTATTATTGAATATAATACTAAATGTACATAAAGTTTGACAAAAAAAAATCGTGTGATAACCAATATTGGTGTCTGGATGAGGGAGGCGCATGAGGCGGGTGGTCTCCCGGTCCTCGCCAAGAATGTAACTCCTCCCTGCCATGACACAGCTGAACCATTCCTTTGTAACATTTTCTCTCTGACCTGAATTTTTGTGGTAATAGTGAAATAAAGTGATGAACATAGCGAAATGTTAACAGGAGAATGTTGGTGCTGCAGGTTGTAGGTCCTCAGTGCCTGGTTGGTGGTCGTTCAGATCGTGGGCAGTCCAGGGGGTGGTTCAGAGCCTCAGCGGTCCAGGACGTGGGCGCTCACCTGATGACGGAGCAGCATGATGGACCGGGGCGGCCACAAAGATGCCGCCCATATCCATTCCCTCATGATAGAGGTAATCCATCTCTCCCTTCCTCCCTGTTTCTGTTCATTACTTTCTTCTTCCTAGTCAACCACATTGTCACTGTCTATATATCTCGGTTCGACAACTCAAACACGTGTTGTAATCCTCCTTCACACCATCAGTACCTGGAATGGGCGGGATTAGAAAACGTGTCCCACTTGCTGACGACGGAGTGCCACGCCCGGGGCCTGCCAGTCACCAGAGATCCAGACAGTAGGAGCAGCAGCAGGGCCAGTAGGTTGGACACAGCGGACGTTGACCCCGCCGCCGACCTCTCAGACGAGCTGCTGGCCTACTACGACAGCGGTCAAGGCGCTAAGTTCTTTCAGGTGGGTTGGCTTATGTCACCTGCCATTTTTTGACAACCAGTTTATATATTTGTCTTTCTAGTTACGGACTTCAATAATTTACTTTCATTTTCTCAAAGTACAGTAGTTAAATATTTTTTCTTAAGTCATCATCAAATACGGGGCTATTTTATTTTTGTTGTCAATTTGCTGTGTGTAATATTTACCTTAATTGGGTTATTGTGTTAGGGAGGTTCATCATATACGACACCTACCATGAATTGAAAATTGGACACACCTGAAACAACGGGGCAGCGTCACACTATGCCACTATGACGCTGTAACCGGTGACGACAACCGCCACTACAAAGAGTATCCATCCCTGACTCAATCTCAACAGATAATGTACATGAGACTGCGCCTAGGGTACAGGTACCTATGGGAGTACATTGGCAACCCTGAGCCTGGCCACACTGTTTGTAAACTTTGTGGTCAACCCGACTCTCACACCCTCTCACTACATCCTCACTTGCCCTATGACCTCCTCCTACAGGTCCCCAGCTGTTACCAACACCTTTTCCCTCCCTGACCAGATATCCCTCCTCCTAGTGACAAGCCTGGCACTTGACATTATTAGGGACCTGCCACGCTTTGCCATAAACAGATGAAATGTACCGGGAACTTTCCTCCCACACACTCATCATTCTCCCACTTTATGTAACTTGACAAAACCTATGATCCTTCAGGCTTTTACGCCCTTAATGTACGAGTCATAAAGGCAAGTATGAACATTGCATACTTCCCAGATGGGCGCTGTAAACGCTTCTGCGCTTCACCTTGCACAGGATGTACGGGGTGCCCAATAAACTAGCCCCCTCGGGGGCAAATCTGAAATCTACCATGAATTACTGGATCACAAGCCAGGTTTAATTTAGTTAGGTTATAATATGTTAGGTTAGGTTATATTATGTTAGGTTAGGTTAAATAAGGATGGGTTAGATTATATATCGGGCTATATTAGGTTCGGTTATATTAGATTAGGTTAGGTTAGGTTAATTAGGAGGTTTTTTCCGCTACAACTGAGGCGCGTGGTGGTGGTGGTGTTTCAGGCATGGCGAACGGCGAGGGAGAGAGGACGTCCACCCACCTCCCTGGAAGTCCTCACCCTCGAGTTCTACCTCCATGTGTACTTCGCCACGCTGCCTCTCCGTCACGGCCACAAAGAGGTCAGTAACTCTTTTATGTGAGGAATGGTAATGTTAGACCTCCAAAAAACCCTCGATACTGTGAACCATAATATTTTGTTGTATAACTTAAAATTAATGAGCTTAAACAGTGATGCCGTAAAATCGATGTGTTCATGTTTGTCCGGTAGAGAGAACAGATGATTAATGTGGTCGGTAGAAACTCGGAACCTGGTAGAATAAAGTGTTGTCACAGGGTAGTATACTGGGGCAGCTCTCATTCTCATTGTATATTAACAATATTTAGTAACGGGGAAAGTTGTTGCCAGCCTCGAATCCAAATTAAGCAGTGACTTACTTTGTCTTAATAATTGGTTGATGGATAACAGACTGTCTCGCCATTTTGCGGAAACTTAGAGTCCTGACTTGAAGGTTCAGTGTACTGTACAATCATCCAGGCGACATCATCAATAAAGTATCTCACAGCTGAAGTTGATCACTATGTATCGGGAGAAGATATAGCCTAAAAAAGTTATTAAAAACTCGTCCAGAACCCAATTTTTGGATAGAAGCGAGGAGAGTGTAGACTGTAGAGCGTTAACAATGTAGACTTCCACTTGTTGGTAGTAGTCTTCCTCCCTTTTTTATTTTTCTCTCATTGACTCGTTACAATAGACCTGACAAAGTGGACCTCACGCAAAGGTTGACTGGGTCCTGTTCATCATTGTAAATGGTAACTCAATATCTACCAAATTACTTAACTATATGATAATTGTGTTTGCTTGCAATAGTTATTCATACCCATATTGTTTTGTAGTACAGGTAATGAATTCTAAATTAAATCAATCAATCAATCAAAGCCTGTATTCGTCCGCTTCTGTCCTGTGGTTTGTAATACACCACTACCAGCAGTATCTCTCTCTCTCTCTCTCTCTCTCTCTCTCTCTCTCTCTCTCTCTCTCTCTCTTTGTTACTGTCACTTGCTCTCTTAATTAGGATTTCTTTTCAGGATCATTAACAACTGTGTAACCACCATTATACTGTGACCACGAACACTGACCACTCTCCCGCAGGATCACCCGGCGGCCATGGCAGTGTTTCGACGGTTCCTAGAGTTTTGTCCTTCAAAAGTGGGTACAGTACAAGACCTCCTGCCCTTCTATGCCCTACCCTATGTCCCCGACCCCACCCTCCACCCAGCCTTCAGGCCAGTCTTCCAGGTACTGTCCCCACCCACCAAACATCACCTGTCACAGTATGCATTTACTATGATATTTCCTCACAATATTTTCTCTTAACATGCAAAATAAACCAGAAGTTTCATTTACCCGAATCTTTTATAACGGCAATTAAATCTTATTCTTTCATCTGAATGTCTGAATACCTGCGAGAAATGTTGTGTGTGGTAATGAGTCACCTGAAGGACTGTAGATCAGCTGGTGACGTGTGTGTGTGTGTTGACAGGGATCGTGGGTTCAGGAGCTGCGGGGACAGCTGTGTGGGTTCATAGGGCGTAGGGCCATCACCTGTCGTCCTTCCATCTTTTCCTACCTCCACCACCACCGTCACCACGCCTCCAGGTAGGTTTCTCCCTCAACCTACACCACCTCCATTTTCTCCCTCCACCACCACTAGCCATGTAGTTGATGATGGTTACGTTAATTCATGAATACCGAGTGTAAACAGCGGCATTGAATGTTACTAAAACTCACAATAACAGCATAAATGACATAACTAGTGAAATACAGTACAACAACTTTCGATAAAGAAGCTTAATAATGTTAATGTGATGACGTAGCAGTGACGTGGTGACGTAACAGTGAAATATGATGACGTAACACTGACCTAAGTAGAGACGCATGATGATACACGTAGTGATATGATGGGTTCTGGAATTTGTCCGCAGCGTCGGGCAGGCACTGGTGGCGCAGGAGTCGGCAGCGTCGGCGGTCAGGTCCCAGCGGATACTACGCCGGCGTCTACAGCGACTGCAGGAGGACTATCACAAGCTGATAGGTAGGTGGTGGAGTCTTGTTGATAGGTAGTTATATAATCGTGTTAAAAGGAATGAAGAATCATTAGCAGAGACCAAAAGTGAAAAGGACTTGTGTTTATGTTGACAATAAACTGGAGTTCTTAAGCCATTGTGAGAAGGGCATTCATATACCTAGATGATCCATACCTCATAACGCTCTTCAGAAGTGAGGTACTACCCTGTCTGGAGTAGTCACCCCATCTTCTCCCTGAGATATGCGAGTAACTGTCACTTAATTGAAGGCCACCTCAGCTACCTAGAGAGATTAGAACACCAGCAGTTGCCTAGCTTATACTACAGATGGGTAAGGTGTGACTTAATACAAGTCTTTAAACACCTCAAACTGTGGAGGAATAAATATTTGTTATTGAAATATGATGAAACTAATCTCTGGGATGAGTTAGATTTAATCTTCCTTTTTGGTTTATAATAAAATTAACAGTCATTAAAATCTATTTGCTGTATTGTATATTTTAAAAGTTAGGTGAGTTTTAAGTGTTTCTGGTGTGTAGTGATTGATATTGGTAGATAAATTACAGGTGTGTGTTTGGATATTACATACAGGTGTGTCATGGGAGCTGACGCAGGCGCTTGAGGCGGCGGTGAGAGGGGAGAGAGTAGACCTGGAGGGCACCTTAGCCGCCTGTACACACCGCTACCCCGAGCTCTTCACCCTCAGTCTTACAGCAGACACCACGGTACAGCCTGCTTCTCTCTCTCAGTGGATTTTACTACAGTATTATTTGACATTTTCATAATTTATTTAAGTAGTATTTTTGCGTTTACACACCAGACATTCCCACCACTTATCTATTATCATATTCGAAAAAGGCGTCTAATTATAAGATAATTTTCATCTATTACATTACCGGCGGAAATGTATAATAACGGAGAATGCAAGCGTGTGCAAAATTTTCTCTATTTTCTTCCATTAATCTTGCGCCATTATCGTCTACCTCACCTCCCACACTGTCTGTCTCCTTCATAAATCATCACACGCATGCGTTCCCGTACACGTCACGCTGCCAATCAAAAAAAAGCGTTTTTGTTTTTGCAACCAATTAAAATGATTTTGGGTTTAACTCGCGGTATTTTTGGCCCAATCAAATTCGAGTTTTATTTTGGGTCTCATATTTCGAAATTCATATTCATTTCCCACCATGGAAGTCTGCGATGGGTGTCACTTAAATTATATGGAGCTGATTGCGAGTTTTTGGGAAAAAACAAAGAAGCTATAGCATTTTTTCGATCGCATGGTGTTGTAGGGGAATCGATATATTAATGTTGTCTAGCACTCAGGATGGAAGGAAACTCTAATGTGGTTTTCTTGTATAAGTTATATGATAGACAGTCTGGTGCTGGAGGTGCTTGTTCAGGAAGATGGGCAGAATGAGAGTTGGTTGGTGAGGAAGCTCAGAGAAGGACAGCTGGTGGGTCGCCATGCTCGCTGGCGGGAGCGAGGACCGCCAGGCAGGCGAGGAGGAGCTAAGGCAGCCAGGCAGCGGCGGAGGAGGAGGTGTTGCTTGTTCAAGAAGAATGATCAGAATGAATCTCAATGGAGAGACAGAGCTTATATACCCAGCAGCTGCTATGAGTCATGTTGGGAAAACCCAGAAAGTCGCCGGTGACTAGTTCCGTTGCTAAGATACTGTAACATCTGGTTGGTTGCTAGGGAAGGCGGTAGCAGGTGGTGACGCCACTACACAGTTTGTAGGGGAGACGTCCACTACAATACTCCCCCTCCCCTCTAGGCGGTGTAGGAGACTTGTTGTCTGTAGAGTTGCTTAGCACATGTGAGGCAGACCGGGCGGTGCATGCCTCATGTGAGACAACGGCGATGGCGTGATGAGCCGATCGCTGAAATACAACTGTCTAGATACACACTATCTGTGGGAGAAGGGAGAAAAAGGGTGTGTGGAGGCGATGAATGTTGTGCTTCCCTCACGACAGGTACAGGGTCGTCAGATGCGCCTGCTGGGGTGTGTGTGGGCCTGGGTCAGGAGCAGGGGCTGCGTCAGCAGAAGCGGATTAGGGCTCGTGACAGCAGCTGGGTCCACGACAGCAGCAGGGTGCAGGACATTAGCAGGGAGTACCTGAGGGAGAAAAGAGGGGGTGTGGAGGCGATGGATGTTGTGTGCTTCCCTCACGGCAGGTACTGTCGTCAGATGCGCCTGCTGGGGGGTCTGGGTCAGCGTCTGAGGCAGGACGGGTGTGCTGGGGTCGTAGGATGTGGTGCTTGGGGCAGGAAGAGGAGCCGGTGTCTGCTTGAAGACTGGGAGCGTGATCAGTGTCTCCTCCATCCTGTGTGAGTGCTAATCTCCGGGAGTCACCATTGTAGGGGTATCGAGATATTAATGTTGTCTAGCACTCAGGATGGAAGGAAACTCTAATGTGGTTTTCTTGTATAATATAAGTTATATGATAGACAGTCTGGTGCTGGAGGTGCTTGTTCAGGAAGATGGGCAGAATGAGAGTTGGTTGGTGAGGAAGCTCAGAGAAGGACAGCTGGTGGGTCGCCATGCTCGCTGGCGGGAGCGAGGACCGCCAGGCAGGCGAGGAGGAGCTAAGGCAGCCAGGCAGCGGCGGAGGAGGAGGTGTTTCTTGTTCAAGAAGAATGGTCAGAATGAATCTCAATGGAGAGACAGAGCTTATATACCCAGCAGCCGCTATGAGTCATGTTGGGAAAACCCAGAAAGTCGCCGGTGACTAGTTCCGTTGCTAAGATACTGTAACATCTGGTTGGTTGCTAGGGAAGGCGGTAGCAGGTGGTGACGCCGCTATGCAGTTTGTAGGGGAGACGTCCACTACAGTGTTCTTCCAACCTCAGTAAAGTGTCATAAGTGCAAGACTGAATGTAAATATCACAAAGACCAACATACTGTATGTGGCGTTGTGTAAGAATCTTAGAATCCAACAACGAACAAGAACCAGACCAATGAGGTAATAAATAGGTGATTCCATCATATGGTGAGAGTCGGTTAGGATAGGTTTGGATTTTGTTCCTCTAGTGTTTTTGGATGTATTTTGCCATTATTTGTTTTCGGAAAATGTCCAACGAAAATAATTCGATAAAAAAAAAAACCCGGCTAATTTCTGCCAGAAATGAAGGTCATATTTGGTCTAAACACACAAATACGCTAGAAAAATAATTTTTTTACTTTCTAAGAGTGTGTGGTGTGCAAGTGCAAATTTACCATTTAAGTATTTTGGTGTGGGTAGAAAATAATCGTATTTCAAAATAATTAAATATGATTTGTTAATGTTCGTTGGTGTTTGGTGAAACTACTTTTATCTGTTATATAGAAACGAGAGACAAGTTCAGGTGGGTTGGAGAGGTATAAGAGTACAGTACATGTCTCCTCATCTCGCTTACAATTTATAAAAAGATTTGTGTGTAATTAATAATAGTTCTAATGAATGTTAATGGTGAAGCGTAAAAGAAAAGGTAGGTTGCATTACAGTACTTTAAAATATGACCGACTGGTATTTCCTACGATATGGGGGTTGTCCGGTGGTGGGTTTGACTGACGTGACGCCTAGGTGTGCCAACATCACTCGCACGGCTCATTGAATTTAAACAAGATTTTTCTGGTTTTATCGAGCTCCAGTGGTTTGGACTTCCTGTTTAAATAATGAATCCTCAAGTACACTGCAAATTTTGAGACTTCAAGCTTTATGTATTTATTATGGTCAGAGCTAATAAGGCGTTAACTCGTATCATTCTTCGGTTTGAGTCGATGAAATAAAGTGAACGCTTACTGTGTAGCATATATTAACGAAGAATAAAACCACACCTTCATGCTCATGTCATATCTTCATTTGCATTTACTCTTGGTTTTACCCAACACCACGAGGATTAGACAAGGTGAATTTAATAAGAGTGCTGTCTACTGCATTTACACGTTTGTCTAACTTTTTCTTGGTTTGACTAGGAAACTGTATGTCACACACACACATGACAGTAGCGACACTGTAACCTGCCCACCACTCCAACATTATTTGTATTTTACATTAGGGGAGACCGTAAATGGGATTTTAGGTATTGAAGACTTGTAAGTTATACGACGAAGGAAGAATAATTGAGAGACGTGGTTCGCTAACTGGGAGGGGGAAACAAGCATAACCACGTCTACTGTATGTCTCGACCTAGAGTAACTGACTTCTCAATCCATCGGAGTACCGTCCTCATATCTGAGGGTTGGCGTCCATAGTCCTCCACTCTAAACGTTCTCAAGCTGTTTTTCTTCTTTATTTGCTTTCCTGGCCGTCAACTACTGTGGTTATTACGGCCGTTGACTTGTTAGTTTGACCTTTTCCTTTTTTTTTATTCTTTTGCACATTCCACACTTGCTCTTCTCCTTGTTCTTCTTTATTGTGTACCTGTTGTTCTTCGCTATCTTGTGCTTGCTCTTCTTTTCTTATTGGGGTTCTCTTGTTTCTTGGTTTTAACTACAAAGGAGAGCCTCCATGTAGCTAATGTTTCTCTGGGTTAGCAACTTGGCTACCCTACACTCCTCCCTCCACTTGGGACACCCGGTCGGAGGAGGAATGAGAGCCGCCACAAGCTGGGCATTTCTTCTTGGTTGAAGGACACATGGTGTGCACATGGGGCCGACTTCCCAAGCCCGGTTCTTTATCGCTGTGTGGCCGTAGCACTGACAATTGTAGCACCTTGTTGGTCTTGGTATGTACGGCTGCACTGGTACGGTGTCCCATCCCAGTGTAACCGTCTCTGGTAACATGTGGAAGAATCCCACCGGAGGTGGATTCTCCGTCTTCTATCTTAATCTTTCGTTCGACGTAGACTTTTCTGATCAGTTATTGAATCTCCTGTAGTTCCAGGTGTTGTATCTCGACGTGGGAGATCATTCCCTATGCCTCGTTATCGCAAAGAATTACTTACACCTGAATGGGGACGTCATTGATGCACAACTTCCTTTACTTGTTTGGCCTGCCCCCAGTCACCGAAGGTAACCATAAGGCCACCGCTAGGCCGGCGGACGACCTTCGTATAACCTCCTCTATACCCGAAGAAGTAAAAAAAGACTTAAGGACGAGGAGGTTCAGCTTCTCAGGAGGAATAAAAATGGAGGATAGAGCCTCACGCACGGTCTTCGCGTGCTCCCGCACGACTTTCATGGCGGGTCTCACTGAGGTCGTGTCTTGGAATGTGTGTGGACTGTTTATCCAGCCCTCTTAAGGTTTTGTATCTCTGGGGACCCAGTTTTTAATTTCATTCATCTATCTTCGTCTCTGCCTTCCCCTGGCCCTCTACCCTCAACTTTGACCATTAATATGTTGGTTATTATCTCCTCATCCCTTATTATATGTCCAGTGTACATTATCTCATTGATATTTTTTTTTACGTTTCAAGTATTTCTTGTGAAGTTTTTGCAAATATTAGTACTTCTTCATATGATTTCCTGTTAGTGTAGCTTATTCTTAGTATTCGCCTATAACACCACATTTCAAAGGCCTCCAACCTCTTTCTGGTGTCTGCTGAAAGTGTCCACGCTTCCGACCCATACATCAGTTCTTGCCCTATAAAGCCTTTCGGCAGCCTTTCACATTTAAATTATTGTCCCTTTTCATTAGGTTGTATAGGTTATTAAATGCTGTTTTTGCTTGTCCTAGTCTTGTTTTGATTTCTTCCGTACATCTACTATCACAGCGAATGTTACTTACTAAATTCACAAAATTTTCCGCTTGTTTACGTTCCCTGTTGCCTGCCATTATTTTTATTATAGAATTTATATCCAATTTGGAAATAACCATTACGTTAGTCTTTACAGCATTAACTCTAAGACCATATTTTTCACTTTTCCACTCATCTGTTAACCAGTTTTTCAAATACCTCTTCACTATCTGTGATCAGAGCAATATTATCTGCATAGCGTATATAATATTACTTTACCATTAACTTTTAGTCCTTCATTTTCACTTATAACTTCTCTCATTAAGAATTCTGAATATATATTATACAAGGAAATAGGACACAGCCTTATAACGAAAACTGAACATGTTAACCCCACCATAGTCCTCCCCGACCAAGTCTTGCCTCCTGTGTTTCAAACAAGACGCAAATTGAATGTTTAAACTAATAGAGTAAATACCTCGGAATATATTATTTTTTGAAGTTGACAAGGAAATTGAATCCTTATTAGAGCATTTAGATCCCTAATGGGTGTTCCACGCCACCGGCAATAAACAAAGCCGTGAATTAGTTCGTTCGGTAGTTAAAGGGTCATTTCAGAGGCTCAAAGGTTGCCTGATACTGGCTGGAGTCTGTGTGTTCCTGTGTATGTAATGAAGACGAGATGGTGAGAAAGGTTGGATATTAAGGTGAGAAAGATAGAATATTATCACCCAGCGGCACCATAAATGAGAGATTAAATTGTAGCTGCCAAGGTAATGTTTGTGGTGTGGGCGTGAGAGGGAGAATGTGTGGTTGATGTTTCAGGTAGGATTTCTGCTTGGTGTGAGAGAGATTATATGTTTGTGATGTGGGAGGGAGGCTCACGGGTGGTGATGGCGTGGGAGGGAGGGCGGGCTCGTGGGTGGTGTTGGATGATTTGTTAGCTGTGGATATGTGGTTTGATATATGTTTGGTAATCGTGTAGGACGGAATGGATGTGAAAAGGGGCGTGCGTTAATTTTTCAGAGGGAGGTAAAGTCCGTGGTTGGTAAGGATATGGAGGGAAGATGTGGTACGTGTGGGAAGGTATGTGTGTGTTGTGTGTGTTGGGGGAAGGGTGGTGGTTATGTGTTGGAGGGAACCTGCCTATGGACCCCCACACTGTCAAACACCATACGTTGTATCACCCCTTGATTCTGAATAGTTCTGACATCGTTGTAATTTTTTAATCTTTATCCTTACCTGTACATATACTTTTCTCTCTGAATCAGTGAAATTAAACATAGTTGCAGTTCCTATACAAGTGAATGTCTTGCCTCCCTACTCCACCAGGCGGGGCCGGCCACCATCCTGCTGGAGTCGATGCAGCGGTGTCGCCGTCGTCCTGGGGTGGCGGCGCCCATCGCTGCCCTAGACTTCGAGCGTGTCAGGGTAGATTTGGGCGCCGCCCCTGAGACTCATGTCCTGCTGCTGCTCCAGGCCCTGAGACATGTGAGTACTGTAGTATTAGGGGCTGTTGGGTAGTATGTCTTGTATGCTCTGCTCTTGTGGTGTTTGGTTGTGAACTCCTTCATTCTTTCCCTGTGACCTCTTGTGAGTAATGGAGGGTAGAGAATTTCCAGGTTCTCTTGTGAATAATAAAGGGCAAAGGAAACTTTCATGTCTTGTGAGAAATATAGAGAACTCCCATGCCCTTTTGTGAGTAATGGGAGGTATAGAGAATGCTTATGTTTTCTTGTGTACAGTGGGTGATAAAGAGACTATCCATTGTGAGGTGTGTTGTGTTGCAGCGTGTGACACGGGTGACAACGGGCAGTGTGCGGCAGGCGGTGGTGACGGCCTACGTGCGTGGCGACGTGTTGGGGGTGCGTGGGTCGTGTAGGTCGTGGAGTCGTGTGGCCGGCGCCCTCACCAGCCCTCAGCCACAGATGTTAGCTCAGACAGCTGCCAGGCTCATCAATGCCCTCACTGCCTTCAATGCCGGCCGCACCTACCTGGCCAGGTACTATATACGTAATCGCCTTTCGCTCTGATGTGGCATTTTGTGCCAGTTGTTTTGTTTACTTATTTTTATTATGACGGCTTGTAGTTTATTTCATGAGTGTAATAATATTTCTTGTAGTTTTGTTCTGGAAATGATTTATTAATTTTATTAGGTTCAGAAGTTTTTTTTTATGATCAGTGATGGTGTAGCAATGTGTTGCGCAAGAAGTTAGAATATACAGGATACCAGAGCATGTACAGTTGTGGGGAACTCTCCCAACATTTGGGAGTATCTGGCACCTACAGTATGCCTGGCTCACATAATGATTGGTCTACATCTGGTGACTGCTCCTTTCTATTATAAGTTACATCAGACTGAACAACATGAAAACCATCATATATAAATAAAACTGAGTAAACATATGTTAAACTACTAAGACTTTTATTACCTTCATGACTCTCCTGTAGGTGCGAGATACAGTGAAGTATCTCGGTTGAAAAGCTACTTTATGAAATAATATATTTTAGATAGATAAGTACATTCTAATTAAAAAATAATAATTTTGGAATAATGTATAGAATACTTGTCATTTAATAAATTTTCCACATATTTCACAATAGTAAATTAGGAACAATTGGACAATCGGGTAAATGGCTCAGCACCCACCCTGGTTCCTGGAACCTCCGTGTGCTCTCCTGACGCTTATGCTTCACAAATACATTAAAAGTGTTCTTTAATTTTGTCAGTGTGCCTCCCTCCACCCTCAACGTATCTCTCATCCCACGCCACAACCCTCCTTGACCAAGTACCCCTCCTCCTAGTGACACTCCTAGCACTTGGCATTATTGGAGACTCGCCACGCTTTACCATAAACAGATGAACTATACAGGGATACCTTCCTATATACTGTACACTTATTCTTACTTCACCACGTGTAACTTAATAACAAACCAATGGCCCCTCAAGCACTCTCACCCACCCATTATCTAAGTCTAAGAAAGTAAATACTGTATGAACCCCACATGCTTCCCTGTTGGGCGCTGTAATGCTTCTACACTTCTCCATATACACAGGATGTAAAGGGGTGCTCAATAAATGAGCTCCCAATGTGTGGGGGCAAATCTTAATGTGAAATCTGTCTTCACATGAGTTTGAGAAGTAAGTTATATGATGCCTGTAGGAGAGTGATGACACATTGAAGAATTATAATTATTTGTAGAATAGAGAATATTGTGTTACAGAATAATGAAGGAAGTTAGTGGTTATGTATTTGCATTAACTAATAATAAAACCCAACTAACACAGTACTATGGTTTATTACGTGCTTTTCTTGGACACATGTTCATGATACAGTAGAATCCACTTAATGTATTTATCCATTTTTATAAAATCTCTTGGTACCAGACATTTCGGTCTACAGATACTTTACTGTATTTCCAAATGTGACTATGGAAATTTGTCCACAGTTGTACATGTTTTCTATGGCTCCCATAAAAAAATCCGCTACCTGTATGTTTAATATTATATTTTTAGCACTCTTAGTAAATGCAGCTTTTTGATACTTTGTGGAGATGCTAAGTGGTCATGATCACAGTGTCTGTTTTTTGCTCCAAGTTGGATAAATGTCACATCATGAGCTCCTGAGGAAATATCATGGATTACCTGAAGATTAGGCACACCAGCTTATTTCACGTGATGATGAAACACTAGCTCTAACCTAACTTAACCTAACCCCTCCAGGTAGCATTAGTATGTGAAATAAGCCTGGATGCTTAATCTTCAGGTGATCCAATTTTATCTACTGTACAGTAATGATCCTGGACTTAGGGTACAGTAGCAAGTCCACAAAGCGGAATAATAGGTCAGAATTTTCCTTTTAGGTTAAGCGAGTTTAAACTATTTGTAACTATACCCTGTAGCACACTAGTTCCTTTTACACTTTTTACACGATTAGCAATAACTTTATTACTAAATTTTTGGTTGGTGTCCTTTGTGGTGCGCTGATGTTCTCTGTGGTGCGCTGATGTCCTCTGGTGCGCTGATGTTCTTTGTGGTGCCCTGACGTCCCTTGTGGTTTCCATCATGGTGCGTGGTTTATGGTGTCAGTGAGGAGGTATGCGGGGTGCTGCTCAGAGCCCTACGAGCAGAACAACCTGATTCAGCCACAACAGACATGGCTCTGGCAGCACTACAAAAGCTCTCCATAAGGTAACAATCTTATCTCTCTCTCTCTCTCTCTCTCTCTCTCGCTCTCTCGCTAGCTAGCTAGCTAGCTATATATAATTAGGTTTTCTCTGTTTGACAGAACTAAATCGAGTATATTATTACCCCGGGTGGGTTCGGTTATATGTTGGCTTTGGAAACAGTCCTGGCTTGTTTCAAGAAAATCCTCTGATTCTGAGTTACCCGTAAAGTCAATCCAATCTATTTGGCTAAAGTTAAAGTCGCCTACCATACAGACTTTGCTATGTATGGAAGCCCTGTGCATTTCATCCCAAATAAGTCTCATTAACTCTATCAAGATTAGGAGGTCTATATATTGCTCCTGTGATTAATTTTTCCCTACCATCGATAAATTCTATCCAAATTGTTTCTGTAATCTGCTCCGTTTTTATTTCCTTATTTATTTCACACTTCAGATTATCCCTGACATTGATTGCTACTCCGCTTCCTTTCCTAATCTGCCTATCGGTATGGAATAATTTGTAACCTGCAATTTGGTATTCGACAGGTAACTCACGTGAGTCTAGGTTTATCCATGTTTCGGTGAATGCTATTATTTTTATTTTTTTTCGGCACATACCAACGCCCTGATTTGCATAGTAGACATTTAAGTTAGTCGTGTTCTGAATCCTCTCTTTGTCGAGTTTAGGTTTTAACCCCCTGCCTAATTTAGTTTTGTCATAATTCCTAGCACTATTTCCCTGTAACCTTTCACTTTGTTTTCCCGCTTCCACTGCAGTCTCTTCCACCCCCGTGCTCATATGTTCCCCTAGCAGTTTAAAGACTTCGACATCTTTTGAACTGCCCTCTCGAGAGAACCAGCCAGGGTTGCCACCCCATCCCTAGCATAAAGGTCCCTTCTGCCGTAGAAGTTGTCCCAGTTGTTAATGAATGGGACTGATATTGACTTGCAATATCTGTCAAGACGGCCATTGACACCAACTGCCCTTGACAACCATTCATTACCAACTCTCCTTCTAGGCAGGACACTACATATGATAGGGATCTCTCCCTTCGTCCTAATACGTTCTATAGCTGCCTTGAACTAATCAAGAAGCTCCTCACTCCTACACCGGCCAATATCATTGCCTCCTGCACTGAGGCAGATAATGGGTTTGTTCTCATTACCAGACAAGATATTGTCCATCCTGTCATTTATATCCCCCACCCCAGCTACTGGCAAACACACCCTCATCCTATGTTTATTTTTTCCACAAAAAGCTCTGTCCAGGTAACGTACCTGGGAATCGCCAACAATTAAGGTTTTCGTACCTTCCTTGTCAGCCTTGTCCCTGACTATGCTAACGTCCAATTCGTCTATCAAAGGACTGAAAGAGTTGGTACACTTAGCTGTTGTTGTCGTATCCTTGGTGGGTTTTTTCACCACCAGTTTGGTCGTCCTTCTCCTCACAACCTTCCATTTGCCTGAGTTTTCGTCAGACATTGGCTTTCCTCGTCTCGTTTCTTCCTTCTTCCTTTCTATCACTTCCTTTAATTTCAAGATTTCTTCCTTGGCCCTCAAGTTTTTGTTTAACCTTCTCTAACTAGGCTCTCTGAAGGGCACAGCCCTGTTCACAAGTAGCACTAGCCATTACTGAATTGGTTAATTTCAACATTTCACATACAGTACTTCAATGAAACTGTTATTTCCAGACTCAAATAAATTGAAATATAAATGCAAACTGACGACTGATAACTTTACAGAAGGCGAAACAGCATGAAGGTACTTCTGATGTTTTCATAATTAGTTTATGCAGTATCGCTATTTTCACCCCAATTATATAGTCACTGGGACTTTCAGCGGTTATTTCTGAGAACAGCGCTACCACCAGAAGTGGTTCGATTTCGTTCATTTTTTCCACATTTTCTTTTTATAGTAAGTATTTTAAGAGGCGAGAACTTTTTATTTTAATTATAAGTATTGTTACGACCCACCTTTTCGCTGCTTGCTAGCTTCCGCCACTGGTTACTAGCAGCCAGGTCGTTTATGAAGAAGCAGTAGATATATCACAAGTGTCGTTCTAGTTCCCACTAGCTGTTCCCCCAGTCAACTGTAATTTTACGATGATCGGTATCAGTGTACAGACAAAACATGCAGGTAGGTTTTCACAAGTCACAGAAACACACTTGTAAACTATTGTCTTCTTTAATAATCCGTAAATCTTCACAAAACTGTTCACAGGGTATGTCCTTACAACTGGACTTCTCACTTAGTATATATACAGCCAGCACATTACCAGTGGACAATTCATTAGTTTTTTTCATTTTATATCGCTCACAACAATTCCACAATACTTGCACAACAATTATCTTTAGTTGTCACTATGCTTGTACTTCACACTCTGAGCAGAAACGATCGACTGACCTTCCCTGTTTTTGTTGTGATGGAGAGAACGGTGTAGGTCCTGTAGGAGGAAGGTAAGGTTAGGAAGTGGGATATAAAGTGGGAGATTTGATAGCAGGTGGGCTATCCACCTTACGGGGCTGACCTCCCCTAGGCCGCTCGCTGCTGCTTCTGTACCTCATCAGATGCCCCTGGAACATCCTAGCACCATCCAGCCGTTACAAATCGGAACGAGACACACCTGGGAAGTTGTAGAACGTTCTACTCTGATCGAGGCCTTCAATATGCAAGTAATCATAACAAAATTGATGCAATACATTCTAGAAAATTCTTACATATGTACTGTAATACATCAATATATATAAGAAAATCTCCTAAAACTTGCCAAAAATAACTGTTGATAGGAATAGAAAATAAACCGAACACCAAGTTCACAAAATTATAATAATAAATTATGCCTCGTAAATCACCTGTAGTGGGCAGGGCATGGAGGATGAGGGACATTGCGGGGTAAAACACAGTGAAAAAATGATCATATGACACTAAAATGATGTCTACGTCTTTGTACATGATTAAATTAATTATCTACCGCAATTAATCCGAAAAATCTTCAGTCACAACGTGTCGTCTGTTTGTTTACAACCGACTCGTTGGTCCGAGCGCTCTCCTATGCCAAAAAGAACGTAGATTTATGCCATGATGCTTCGACAAAGTTGCTCTCATTGGTACCAGATATCAAAATACGTATAGTACTTGCTGTTTAATATGGCTAGGAGTATGGGGGGTGAAGCCCCCCCCGGCTTTGAAGTTAGGTAAGGTTAGGTAGGTTTCTTTGGTTGGTTGGTTAGTTAGGTCAGGTTCTATTAGGTTCTTGTAAATGTTGCCTATTTTAAAATATTGTACTTAGCATAATGATAAGAACATCTTTGGAAAAATTAACGAAATCAAACAACTGCTTCTGGTGGTAGTGCTGTTCTCGGCTTTGGCTAGCATATCTAAATGCTACAAATACAGATACAGTTGGAATTCGTAAATTACATTCTACATGTCATTGCTGGGACATAAGAGAGCACTGATGTTTAGAAATACTGTACAAGAAAGAATGTACGTTTTGTGGGTGACTCAAGAAAGAATTCATACTTTCCTGTTGACTTTAGAGTGCAATATGAATCATCATATTTTATGGATAATATGTACAGTACTAATGTTCTCAGTACATCAAATATAAACTTTGGGCAAATATAATACAAAAAAAAGTCTTCAGAACCCTGATCAGGTGTTCACCCACCTCTTATTTAGATTAATATTAATTCCATTCCAAAATATAGTAACCTTAATTTAGAATGTCTATAGAGCTATACAGGGGAGTTTTTCAGCACTGTAGTATGTTGTGTTGGTGCAGGGGAGTGGTACAGGTGGCGTTGATTGAAGGCGGTGCAGTAGAGTGGCTGGTGAGCACCCTGGCTGACTCCCGAGCCCTCACACACTACACTCAGGAGTATGCTGCCGCCCTGCTCATGAACCTCACTCTCCGCTCTGCTGGTCGTGCCCGCTGCCACCCTCTTGGGAAGACTCTCCTGCCAGCACTCGCCCAGCTCCTCACCACAGTGCCAAGCCATGTAAGTCTCCACTGTTACTAAAAACTAAAGAAATGAGTCCTGGAAAAGAATTCCTTGAACTTATTTTATTGAGTACCATTTGTACTACAGTACTTAAGATGGGAAAAAGGATGATTGTTGTTAACGGTGCCATGTGATGCAGGTGGTGCCTTATGTGACGGGCGCTCTGTACAGTCTCCTCTCACACTCCAGCCTCCGTCAGGAAGCCTTTGATATGGGACTGGACTCTACACTAAAGCACCTGGCTCAGGTACTCCATATTCGACTGTGTTCACTTTGCTTTGAATTTAATCTTTAGACAATATTATTACATGTAAGTTGCCATTACACAAAGAAATAAAACTAGGATCAGGTTATAGATTTTTCATGTCACTGATTGATATTTATTGCACCTTATTTGTCTGTCATATTAATGTAATGCGCACTATTAATTGCATTTTATGTATGGATATTTTTATTATTTACTAACGCCACAATTCTTTTGTCAGCAGAGTGGTGGCACAGAACAGCGGCGACAATTGGAGTATATTGTGGAACAGATCGGGCGTGACCCTCCCCTCTCACCTCCACCCTCACCTGACCCTGTGTTGGATATTGAGGTGCATTCAATTTTTTTAATCAACAATCATTGTCCTGCCGTGGCTACTCTTGCCTTTCATGACTTCCACCTCATCAAAATGTTCTCTTTGTGGTATCATTATCTTCAATGGTAACATCTTTGATGACTTCACTATCCCTGTGGCATCTGATCTCCTTTCTGTAACTACCCTCTTTATTTTCACCCCCCCTCTTCATGTATGATATCCCATCCTCAATTGCTGCAACTGAATAATTATGAATTATGACTTCCTTATTACCCACCACATCACTGTATACAATTCAGGTTAGGCATCAGAGTACTGTAAATGTGATGATTTTCCTTTGTCTTGCCTTAATCCCCTCCTGTTACCTTATACGTACATTTATCATCCCTTACTTCCTCCCTTTTAAGATTCTATAACCCTTTATCCACCTCACATAAGAGTGGGAGAAGTTGAATGTAATCACCCACACACACACAGACACCTAATGCCATCATTTCACAACAGGAGGACCCTGAGTGGTTGGAAGAGGAGCTGGACATTGAGGATCCAGTGCGGGCACCACCTCACGCCCCGGCCGGCGAGGACCTGCTGGCCTGGCGCTACACACTTCACCCTGGTACCCAACACACTATAATAACTGAAGAAATGTTGTAACTCTGAACATAATAGATACGTCAGTGTTTGAGTTTTTCATGATATTTTGAAACATAATTTTTGCATTTCATAAAAAGTTAATTTTAGGAGTGGAGTGCAGTATATACGATTTCACTTTTATTTAAACCTCCAAGTTAATGCTGTTCAGCTTTGATTAAAGATAAAACTGAAGTGATGTTATTTACTTGGGTATCGTGCTGAGGTGATAACACTCGACGCCTGTATGACACAAGTGTGTTGGCAGGTGAGGCAGAGGAGGCAGACCGTCGACGGGATGTGGCGCCTGTCAGGTAACTAATCTCGTGTCATGTTTTATTCTTGTTTATTCATTTCTGTGCAGTCTATGTTGATGCATATGTTCAGTATGTCCAGGCACATTTTTGTAACTTCCCCTGTAACTTCACTGTAACTTCCTCTGAAGACTCGCATTTACTTTGGGAATTAACAGATATTGCTAAAAAATCGCCTGTCTTAGTTCACTTCTCTGAGTTGGGTGGACGGATACAAGCAGTTATATGTACAGATATATATTTATACTTGTATCTGAAGAAATGGCTGCTGAGATTCATTGTCACTAAGTGTAAGAGGATGCACCTGGGGCGTACCAACGGTAAGGAGGTGTATCATATGTCCCAACGGGATGAAGAAACTGTACTAGTTGAGACTGTGAGAAGGACCTAGGTGTGTATGTTCACAATGAGCTGAAGTTCTCGGGCCATTGCGAGAAGATAAATCAGGCAAATAAATTATTGGGTCTTATAAGAAGGTCGTTCAGATATCTAGACGGTCCGTCCCTCGTAACGATCTTCAGGAGTGAAGTGCTTCCCCATCTGGAGTACTGTCACCCCATCTGGTCCCCGAGATATGCTAGGGAATGTCAGTTGGTTGAAAATGTTCAAAGGAGGGCCACCAGACTGGTGCCTGCACTTCGGCGCCTCAGCTACCCTGAGAGATTGGAGCGCCTGAACTTGCCTAGCATATACTACAGACGGGCAAGGGGGGGACCTAGTTGAGGTGTATAAGCATCTCGGGGGGTACTACTCAGTTGAGTGTCCTTACTTGGAGCTGGCGGACGCTCGCCCCACAAGGGGTCACAGCTCAAGATTGAAGAAGCCCCAAGTCCAGAAAACCGTGAGGGCAAACTTTTTCGGAGTGAGGGTTGTAAACTCTTGGAACAATCTACCAGAGAGTGTTGTGATGGCACCGAGTGTGAGCTCTTTCAAGACAAGACTTGACCAATACTGGAGCGGGTTCAGGTACATTCAGGAGCCGGTGCATGCCCGGTATTTGCCGACAGTGCATGACACAGATGTGACCGATCGCCCGGGCGGCTAGCGAGCCAATCTTTTGGTGAAGAAGATAAATGAAAAGGAAAAGTAATCAGAGACGTGACCAATCGCCCAAGCGGCTAACGAGCCGATCAGTGGCGAAGAGGATAAAAGTACAGAGAGGCTGGCCACTTGATCTGGGACTGAGGACTGGGAGCTTGAGAGCAGTGTTACAGATGCTATTTAGATCTGCTAGGACTGAAAGGATCTCTCAGGCTACTGCTCAGTGGTAGATCAGTAATGTGTGGTGTCCAGCTAAAGATTGACTAGCTATACCAGGGTGGACTTACCCCGGCTAACTGACAATGACGTCACGAAGGATGATGCATGGGTCCAAGCTTCTAGAAGCTTCTACCAGTAGGAAGGGTTGGCATGAACACCTGAATCAATGTCAGCAGCGTTACTGGAAAGTTGTCTGGAAATGATCTCGTTAGAGCCGTGAATCATCCTCAATTGACGTTGCAAATATCTAACTAATCTGACTAATAATTTACATCAAATGTTTGGAAGTCTTACTGGTGATAATCAATATTCCTAGTTATCAAGTAAGAGCCATTAATTGAATAAGTAATTAGCTTCAAAGGTGATATCGTCATATTGAGACATCTCTGGTGGACACACTGTCGCCAGACCGTGTACGTGACTAATGCAGCTGCGTCTGAGCAGGCTAAATAAATACTTACAACATGCTGGCTATGAAAACATCTCTGACCCCCTGCGGGTCAATGCAAAATGCATATTGAAAACTTATTCATCCATAGTGTATAATACTCTGGTTGCTATACTGGTTACAGACTAAACAAGACTAAGCTGCTTACATTTTCCGTTAGTGTATATTTTGGCAAAATTTCACTAGTGATCTGTTGATTGTATGTCTATGTATTTGGGTTCTGGTTGTTGAACCTTTTGTCTTCAAACACGGAAATAGATTTTGGGGGATCATTCTGGGTACATAATTTTTTTTTTTAGGTACAAGTGAGTTAAAGGTCAAAGTCACTTGGCAACTGTTCATTTGTTCAACCTCTTGCTACTATTCAAATTGTATTTGGGAAGTTTATCCTTTGAAGACTGTTATTGATTGAGATTGATGAAACTTTAAGGTTATGCATGACTGGAAATAAAACATTACCCCCTTTGAGATTATAAGTTGAAGGGAAAATTTTTATAAAATGGGTAATACCAAGGTCAGTCCTTCATTATAAGGATCTATTACTGCCTTGTCTACAATTAATATTCTTTCCATCAGTCACTGTAAAAAGCCAGGTTATGAATAAAATCTTAGTTGTAATGTCATTGTGTCTAGTTTTGAATGTGAATTTTGACGTCTCCCTGCAGTAATAAGCACTGTAAATTGATTTATGGGGAATCCAAACCTAATGAAACATTAACTTAATTATTGGGTGAGTCGTGTAATGACAGAACTGTGTACGTATAGAGCTTCTGGCACAAATGTAACCATACTGACTTATGTGCGTAGATTGATTGGTTTACCTCCCCATCAGGTCAGCACCAGTCGTGCCTTGGGATCCTCGACCACAGACCAGTACTGCTCGACCCAACTCTGATGGCTTTGTTATAAGGCACCACCATGCACAGGTACTGTACAGTATAATGCAACGCCTGACCTAGTTACTGTTAGGAGGTATCACCCCATCCAGCTTACTAATTGATATTCTCAACAGAGTGAATCTATCTGATGAAATCACTCCCTACTGGCAGTAGCTATTAGTGTCACAGCTGTTCTGCAGTAGGTTTATGGGAGAGAATGTAAATAATGTATACACAAACCAATTGTTTTCTGTCTTAACTTGTTCTAATGAAAATGATCATTGTATAGTTGAGACTATTTTATCAATGCTTCATTAACCCTTAAGATATTTGATACATCCATGTCTGTGAAATAGACACGGCTACGAGATCAGCTGTCACAGCATGAGAAGCAACAGGCAGCAGGAGGACAGTGGGACTACCCTTCTGACTCTGAGGCTGCACGCAGCAGCATGTACACCTCCCGCTCCAAGTAAGTACTGTAGAGCTACAGTACTATCCACACTTCTCTTATGCCCTCATTTTTCATAAGTATTGTATTTATGACATATGCTTTAGAAAAAATTTACTGTACTGGGCTTAAAGTTGGAGTCAGTCACTGATTGAAGTCTAATGTGATCGTATAAGCCCACTTGTGTAGAAATGTTGGGTTTGTTGAAGTTGGTGAGCAGTTTTTCATGTAGGTCATCAGAGGTGAACGACGGTGGTGGTGGTGACAATGGAAAGGGCGATGACAGTTACTGCGAAATGTGGGAAGGCAGCAAGGAGGTGGAGGAGTGGGCTCTCTCTCTCCGAGTTGGAAGGTCTCCTCCTTTGCCACGTCGCCAAGACTCCCAAGAACATCAGCTTTCCCCGCCTGAGGCGGATGTCAGGGGGCGACTTATTTCAGGTAGATCCTCTGGGTTGATCCACGTGTCCCCAACAGTTATTTTTTTGTACTATACTGTACATACTGTACATGTATATTATACCTGTCTACTGTTCATATCTTGGCATTGGTCACATTACATTGATTTCATGTAATATAATTTTCAATAAAGCTAAAGTATAAATTTATGATATGTATCTCAGTGCAGTATGTACAGTATATATCCAGCCAAGTATTCTAAAGTACAATACTGTATGTGATATTGTGATTGTTTTTAAACTGTTATAGGTGAAGAGCAGCACACTTCAGACACTATTACTGTGCTGGTGTTGTCTTTAAGCCAATCATAACTTGTCCCTTTAAGATGATGACAAGCCAACCTGTGTACGGTAATTCTTTTAGGTTGCTGTCCACCTGGATTTATATTTTAGTGACCGAGCTTTTTGATCAACTGAAATGTGTTTTAAGCATTAAGTAGATAATGTTTTCTGTTTAACAATGGTAAAAAAATTATTATTTAAATATTTCTGGATGAAAGTATTACACTTTGGCAATAAAAATACTTGTCTTCCACTTTTTATACTTGTGCTTTGTGGATGACACAGGGTATGGCACTGCAAGTGCGTGGCAACCTGCTCTACTGCACAGTACTGTATGTGGCATTTGCAGCATTCTTTTTTCTCTGGATGAGTGTCAATAAGAATAATTATCGGTATGTATTTTTTATACAAAATATATGGAAATTCAGTGTTGAATTTAATGTCTTTATTATGCCTCGTAAAATCCCCATCACTTGGTTTATGATAATGTTGCCTCAAGCCTTGCACGTAACTTAGAGGTTCTTTTGACTAATATCAGGTCAACAGATGATGATCAGTTATGTCCAAATACTTCTGTTTGCCTTCAGTAATCAAGGCTGAATGGAAAGTTTGTAGTCAGTTATGAATTGTAATTGCAAGTGTAATGTGTAATGTTGTTATTGCAGAAGGTGAGGAGAGCGTAGATCTCAGGTCCTCTGCACTGTTATCCCCGAGGACCCACACTGCCAGGACCACCACTACAGTTGACGCCTGCCCTGCTGAGGCCCTCGTCCCTTACTTCACCCGTCCACCACCCACTCATGAGGATCACCCACAAGTATATAATTATGCACTAGCCATTTTAACTACTGTACAGACTCTGGCAATAGAGTACACTATAGTATGTATATCTTAAGGATATTTATAATTGAGGCATATTTTAATAAGATGTTTCATGTATTGCATCTTTGTATTTGTGGTATTACTTTGTGTTATTAATCTTGTATAATTTCCTGCAGAATTCTTCAGGAACATCTGGGATCAGTCAGACATTCATCAAGTATCAAGATGATGATGACGACGTCACCGTTATGTCCACGAGGCCACACACTGGCCCACCTCTTTCTACAGTTGAGTACCCTTCGCTGCATGACTCAACTTTCACACTGCGCACTATGCATGACAGAATAACCGAGGAGGAAGATGAGAGAGGTGCAAATGCAGCAAGAATTGCAAACCACTCTCAAGAGATGTCTTCAGATGATGTGAGGGAAGGAGAGCCTCACTACAACAAGACGATGGGGACCACAGACTCTCAGTATAGCAATACGATGGGGACCTCTGCCTCTCAGGAGAAAGAGTCATTGGATATAACCAAAGAGCCTACAGACCCCGAGAACAAGCCAATGGAAGCTGAGCAAGAAGCCGCATTAGAGAGACGGAGAGACGACAATCGTGAAAAACCTGCCTATAGGGAAGAAGTGGTCAATAGTAGGGAGGAGGACGGTGTGGCCCTGACTCCAGCTACAGAGGCTGCTCCACCATCACAAGCAGAAGAAAGAGTAGAATCAGGTATGTTTCTGTTTTGTCATTATTCTTGTGTTATTCTGTGATGCCGCTTACACACTTATCAAGTTTGTGATGCCCACAACTTAAGCATGATGAAAATTGAAATGTTTTCACCTTCGTAATTATAAACCATGTTTAGGTTATTGCACCAGCTTTAAATTTGTTTTCTTCTCTGAATTACAGAACTCGTGAAAACTGTTTTGTACACATCAAGGCACTGCACTTGTAATTGTGTCAGTGAAAACTATGTCCATTTCCAAACCCTAGATCACAAGTGAAATCAAGGCAATGAGAAAAGAAAAACAAAAACTCCATTGGAAATTTGCAAAAAGAGCCATAACTTTCAGTGATGCTTACCGAAGTACAGGGTATCAGAAATAGAGTAACTCAAGCAGTTAGAAATGTTAGACGTAGCTATTATACAAATAAGCTCCAGTCTGCATCCGGCAAAAGTAAGAAAACCTGGAATGTCATAAATTCTATTCAGAACAGGAACACTCAACCCTCGGCCCCAACTCAGCTTTTATGATAAATGATTCAGTTGTAACGGAGCTGTCCCTCATTACCAACCACTTCAATGAATATTTTATTAATGTTGGCAAAAATCTTGCAGAGAGCATCCCTGATAACCATGAGGAATTTAGAGCCTACCTGCAAAACAGACAGCAAAATGAGCAGTTCTTATCCCCTGTCACAGCAGATGAATTATTGACCATCATAAAAATGTCCAAAGATGCAGCAGCAGGCGAAGACAATATACCATTAAGCATCATTAAGTGGTGTCTTTCCTGATAAACTGAAAATTGCTTAAGTTCACCCAGCATATAAAAAATCTGGGGACAAAAGTCATTTCAAGAATTATTGCCCCATATCAGTTCTCCCAGCCTTGAGTAAGATACTGGAGAAGCTAACATGTAGTAGACTAAATTCCTTCTGCAGTGCCAATAACATCTTTACAGACTCTCAGTTTGGATTTAGAGCTAGAAGGTCGACTGAGAGTGCTCTGCTCTACTTTACTAATGACATATTAAACTCCTTTGATGACAGTCAGTTCACAGTCAGTATATTTTTGGACCTCTCTAAAGCCTTTGATACTGTCAACCACACCATCCTCCTTTCAAAGCTTGAACATTACGGCATTAGGGGTTTATCCCACAATTGGTTTACCTCGTATCTGTCTAATAGGAAGCAGTATGTTTGCTATAATAATTATCAATCTGACTCCTCACCAATCTTGTATGGCGTCCCTCAAGGTTCCATTCTTGGTCCAGTACTGTTTTTGTTGTACATAAACGATATAGTCCATGCCAGCACATTTCCTAAAATACAACTTATTTGCAGACGATAGTAATCTCCATGACCGCATCTCCTCCATTCCTTGATGAGAACTATGGACACTGAATTGAGTGAAGTCAGGACCTGGGTAATGCGTAATAAACTGACCTTCAACCTCGAAAAACCCACTACACGATCTTTCACAGAAGGAAAAACTTGCCTCCAGATTTCGACCCCCTGTACCTTGGTAATACAATCCTCAAATGCGAACAAAATACTAAATTCTTTGGGGTTAATGTTGATGAGAAACTTAGCTGGAGAAACCACGTACAAGCCATTCACAGTAAAGTCATTAAACAGTGCAGTATCATGTATCACACTCGGCAGTCACTCATTCTTACAGCAATGAAAGAAATCTATTATGATCTTGTTGACCAAAACCTGATACACTGTCACACACTATGGGAGGCCTCTGGCTCTTCAAAAACCCAATCCCTGGGTACTGCACAAAAGAGAGTTGTGCGGACAATGACCTACTTGGAAAAAAAAAAGGATTGCACAAACGAACAATTTGCTAAATTGAAAATGTTAAAATTCGAGGATATTAACACCTACTGCTGTTCCCTATTTGTTTACAAATCTGTCAATCACTTGCTTGACAACAATTATTTCCAGTTCCAGAATAATCAGATATTAACACCTACTGCTGTTCCCTATTTGTTTACAAATCTGTCAATCACTTGCTTGACAACAATTATTTCCAGTTCCAGAATAATCAGATACAACTTAAGGCACCAAGAGCTATTAAGACCACCCCCCCATGCGCACCTCTCAGTCCCAAACCTCCATAAAATATCATGGTGTGAAGGTGTGGAGCAACTTACCCCCTCCCATCTGAGCAAAGACTACTCTCCCTTCCTTTAAATCATCTTTAAAAAAAATCTTTTGTCTAAGTATTAATATTTTTGGTAATAGAGTACCTGTACCTACTTTATATACCTGCTTTTATTGTACCACCGAAACCGTTTTATCATAAATTATCATGTAGATAGATAAGAAATTAACATTGCAAAAAATATATTTGCCAACTAGACATAATCCTGACAGCTCTGTCCTCTTGTTCAGTGCTTCTTAAACTTTATTAATGCCATTCAACCTTAGGTCAGCATAACAAAATTTCATTCACCCACCACTTAACTTCCGTAACTGTACATTTCCCAGCTTTTTCTAAACAATTACTGATATATTTACCAATATAAAGTGCAAATATAAAGTGCAAATCAAGTACAGGTACTGTAGTTAAAGCTTATTTTCACTTTTTTTTATTTATTTATTTACCATTTCACCACTAACCAGATTAAATTATTAGCCATTCTGGCGGGTGGTCTGTTTTTTGCTACGACCTTTAGTGTCCAGTGTCGATACTGGAGGAAACTGGAGTACCCGGAGAAAACTTGTGATGTTGGAAACGTCACATTGGATAAAACCCATCTCGCATCTCTCCCGGGCTGGGTGAATGAACCCAGGACACATTAAGACCTATGCGCATTGCCAGTACCACCAGCACTGATGCCCATCAATTAATGTTTTGTAAATGTGTGTGCATGTGTACACCCGTTTGCGTACGCAGGTGTCCTAAATTCGGGAATATGTTTTCCGGCATGATTCTAACTGCCTGTCGTGAAACCTTAATCCAACCAACATACAGTAGATTGGTTTCAGTCTTGAATGTGAGACACTACTATATTATAGTAATTATAGACACTATATGGATGGAGTTGTGGGGGGCCGGGTGTGAGACACTCCAGCTTCAGAGTAATACTTTTATCCTCTTCACCACTGATCGGCTCGTTAGTCGCTTGGGTGATCGGTCACGTCTCTGTTACGCACTGTTGGCAAGTACTGGGCATGCACTGGCTACTGAATGTACAGTCACAATCCAAAGTTTCGACACACCCCCTTGGCTGGGTAATCGGACGCAGACATTCCACCACCACAACACCCCGAGACTTACAGTACACCAATATGGAAGGAAATTTTTACGAATTTTGACATGACATGCACCTGCATAACAAAATTAAATTCATAACATAGATATTTATCATTTAGGTGGAAAATAAAAAAAATATTCATATGCATAACTAGTTGTAATATTGGTGACCTCTGTGCCGTAACTCTCATAATCCGAGACATTATGAAGTGAAATTTAAAAACTAAAAGCAGCAGTAGACAGGAAACCAGGCAAGTGACCAAGAAGTAGTCACTAATGATGACACAGTCAGGCATCTACGCTGACGGTCGAGGTCTTCGGCAAAGTCGCTGCTCCGGACCAGACAAAAATTGTTTGGGTGATACCATGATTAATGTGAATTGCAACATTCCAACCCAAAATACTCCAATGTAGTTACTGGTACACCATTAAATATTGTAAACATGACTATATAAATTCCTAGTATGTATGAAACCATAATATTCCCAGGGTTATGGTAATATCTACACATGTATAGGCCTCGCCTTGTCGACTGACCGCTCACTCCCTCTTGACGAAATTCGGCCACCGTTTACAGTATATACAGTATGCTGCCCTGATGATTAATGTGTAATACGAGGACTCGCATCTAGTGGTTCCAAGCCAGTGTTTTGGTTCTGGGCAAAGTTTTTCATGCTCCAATCTTAACATGTTATTGTTATGTGTGGCAACATTGTTATAAATGCATTTGTTATGCAAGTTCATGCCATGTCAAAGTTCGTAATAAGTTCCTTCGTGACCTATGAGTCAAGGAGTGTTGTGGTGGTGTAATGTGAACCTCACCATCGTAGTGCCTCGTTACCACATTGCTGAACTAGTCTGCATCAGATCACCCAGCCTTACCTCAACCCTGGCCTCGGCGCACACCCAGCCAGGGAGGTGTCGAAACTTTGGATTGTGACTGCACTTGAACCTGCTCCAGTGTCGGTCAAGTCTGGTCTTGAAAGAGCTCACACTCGGTGCCGTCACAACACTTTCTGGCAGATTGTTCCAAGAGTTCATGACTCTAACTCTTAAAAAGTTTGCCCTCACAGTTTTCTGGACCTGCTGCTTCTTCAGCTGTGACCCTTTGTGGGGCGAACGACCGCCAGCTCCAGTAAGGACACCCGACTGAGTAGTGCCCCTTGAGATGCTTATACACCTTAATTATGTCTCCCCTTGCCCGTCTAGTATAAGCTAGGCTAGTTCAGGCGCTCCAGTCTCTCAGGGTAGCTGAGGTGCCGAAGTGCAGGCACCAGTCTGGTGGCCCTCCTTTGAACATTTTCAGTCAACTGACAGTTCCTAGTATATCTCAGGGACCAGACACCCCGACAGTACTCCAGATGGGGAAGCACTTTACTCTTGAAGATAGTTACGAGGGACGGACCGTCTAGATATCTGAATGACCTTCTTAGAAGACCTAATAATTTATTTGCCTGATTTACCTTCTTCTCACAATGGCCCGAGAACTTCAGCTAATTGTCAACATACACACCTAGGTCCTTCCCACATTCAGTCTCAAATAGTGCAGTTTCTTCATCCCGTTGGGACATACGATACACCTCCTTACCGTTGGTGCGCCCCAGGTGCATCCTCTTACACTTCGTGACATTGAATCTCAGCAGCCATTTCTTCGACCATTCTTGGAGCAAACAGAGATCCTGCGGCAGCTCTTCTCAGTCCGCTTGATTCCCGAAAACTTGGTGCCATTTGCAAACATTTGTATGAGTAGTGTACAGCCTCAGGCATGTCATTTATGAAAAAAAAAAAAAACAACAGCGGGCCCAATACACTGCCATGTGGCACCCCGCTCGTGACAGGTACAGATGATGATTTCGTGCCATTAACCACCACACACTGCTTGTGGTCATGCAGAAAGTCTTCTATCCATGCTAGGACATTTCCCCGAATTCCATACCCTTCCAGTTTGATTTTCAGCTTTTCATGGGGTACACTGTCGAAAGCCTTGGCAAAATCTAGGTATATATTGTCGATATTACCACCCCGTTCCAGAATGTGGGTCCAAATATCCAATACCTTGAGCAATTGTGTTAAGCAGGAGCGCCCTGGCATAAAACCGTGTTGGCAATCCTTTACAAGGTTGTTTCGTAGTAGATGTTCCATCGCCGCATCTCTGATAATGCTCTCAAGTACTTTGCATACTATGCTGGTCAGGCTCACCGGTCTATAGTTGTTCGTGGAGTGACGATCGCCCTTATTGGAGATGGGACTCACATATGCCATTTCCAGTCACTGGGGACCTTTTGTTCATTCAGGCATTTACAGAACAGGCATGGGCAATGTTATCCTGAATTCGACGTGTGAAGTGTGAAGACATCATTGACAATTTCGGAAGAGATCCCCGACGGCTCCAGTTCCTGTTCCAAGAGTAGTAACCTGCTCTAACTGAATGAACTGTTGAGAAATGTTTATTTTATTCATTTTGTATTTTCCATATAATTTTTTCAAATTTTTTATTTTCCAGGGGGGGGGGGGCAAATGCCCCCCCTTGCCCCTCCCTGCGGACGCCCATGAGAACAGGATCTTCAGGGGCTCGGCAAGCTCGTTTCACAACTCTCTTGGCACTCGGGGATGCACCATGTCAGGGCCAGGACTCGTATGGAACCTTGAGCGTTGACAGTGTATTCTTGTACCCTCTTCTGTGAACGCAATGTGGGTCAGTTCTGTGTCGAACCGTCTGTCCTCAAACGCAGGAAGGTTAATCGCATCCTCTCATGTGAACACCAAGGAAAAGAAGCTGTTTAATGCCTCGGCTTTATCCTGGTCAGAATCTGCTTAACTAATGACAGTTCATGCTTGAGAAAGTACCAACTGTTACCAGTGAATGTATACAAGTACAGTACAGTAATAAATTTTAATTTTTTATCCTCCACAAACGATGGTGATCACATACTGTTGAGAAATTAAGTTGATACAACTAGAAGAAAACCTCAACTGATGCTCCATATTTTCATCAATATATTCTTGAGAACATATAATAAGATGCCAACAAAATTTCTTCTCGCAATATCAAGCACTAGTATAACTGAAGTCTACAGGAAAATTTTGTCCAGATCACAAATACTTTACAGTACAGTACATTAATTTCCTGCAAACCTCACTGTTATCCTCACTCATCCTCCATCTTTACATGTGCTATAGACTGCTGGCTGACATGTAGTATTAAATATGACCGTTATTAATCTCAGCAGAGAGCGGGTCAATAGATAGATTTCGTGCAGTGTTTTATTACTGTTAGGTCTAAATAACAGATTTTAACAAATTTCAACAAAATTGTCAGTAACTCCTCTACTCTGGTGCACCTGAACAACTCGGAGGCATTATGTGTTTAGTAAATCTCACTTTTACATTTTTATATAAAAAAAAACTTATAATTCTATTGGTGGCAGCACCTCCATTTGACCCAGTTCTATAGGAGCACCTGACCTTAGTTGGGAAGGGAAATTAGAGAGTGCAGTGTTGGCCACCTTGCTGAAGCTTAGCATTCACTGTTGTACCTGTACTGTCTCTGACAAGCTGTTAGGACTATTAGACCGGTTGCCACTTTATATATTAATGTTTTTCACTTCAAATAATCAATGAATACAGTACATCTGATCTCCGACTTCAGAGTAATGATCACAACTTCGATTAAGTTGTCGGAACTAAATTTCCTATTCTAACTGCTTTCAGCATGATATTGCAAGTAATTTTTTTTTATGTTTAACACAGAACAAAGTAGTACTGTACAGTAATTTCATACAAACTGAAGTGTGATGAGTGCACCCAAAGTTGCTATGTTCTCTATATCTTGAGAGCCTCCACCCTCTGCATGATATAGTGTAACTCATCTTGCAGTAATAGTAGAGGATGTTCTGATTCACATGTTGATTCTCATTTGTTAAGAGGTATATGTGTAACATGTCTTTACTTTACATTAACTTGTTGCACCTTAGCAACATGAGGATGACATATAATTTAAACTAATATTATATTATTATTTCTGTCTGCAACACCTTCAAGACATGAGTAAATATATCTATTGTGCTTACATAGTTAATACTTTATATCAAACAAGTGAGAAAACAGACCCCCTTTAAGAGTCCATTTCTTTTATTGATGTGGGCTAAAGGTGTGTACAGTATTTCTTAACCACTGTGTGCATTTGAAAACAAAATGATTTTCTGTTCAGTATATTGTCTGCAATGTTTATTTTTAAGTGTGCAGTCAATGTCTTTTCCTATACCTTCAGTATTTAATGTGTGTGTTTCACTGTAACTTGCTGCCAGTGGTTCCTCCTGTGAGTGAGAGAGGTACTCAGCATGTTGTCCGCATGCCACCTTCAGAAGCACCATCTGAAGCACTCAAAGAAGTACCACCAGAGGCTGCACATAAAAGCACACATGAAGAAGCACCAAAAAGAATATCAACAGAAGCACCAAAAAGAGTACTTAAAGGGGCACACAAGGAAGTACCTAGGAGAGCAACCAAGGAAGTGCCTAAAAAAGCACCCAAGGAAGCACATAAAGATGCACCTAAAGAAGCACCCAAGGAAGCATCTGAAGAAATACCCAAGGAAGTAACTAAGGAAGCAATGTCACGTGCACTAGAAGTGGCGACTGTGGAAGTACTGGAGGTGAAGATGCTCCCTCGGAGGAGTAGTGTGACCCCGCCTCGGTTGGTTCCTACTGACCCTCACAAAGGTCAGTACATTATGTTATTGAGGCTTCAGGTCACAAGAGGGTCATCACATAACAGTATACTTTATTATGTTATTGGTGGTATATTCTACCAAGTAGCAGGTATATTCTATCACGTACATGGTGACATATCCTGCCATACACAAGATATTTTATCCTGTTACACACATATACACACACACAAATGAAGGTAGAGTTATAATTTCACACTTTGTACGTACAGTTGCGGAAATGTGCTTATGTGCCCCGTGGTAATGCGTGTCTCCAAACGGCCAACCTATCGCAATCCTATCCACTAATCACGTCCGTCGTTACACGACCAATACCCATTCATTCATTCGTAAATAATGATACTGCTACTGCGACTGTTTCGTTTGAAGACCAGGTTACCACAGGGGGTGTAGGAACACATTTCTGCAACTGTACCTACAGTACATGCATACACCAGAGTAACATTCAGTATTTTTTCTCAGGAATGCATAGCTAATACTTACAAAGGCAATATTTCTTGGAATTATATGGGTATTATGAATACCTGTATGAATCAAATGGTACTACTCGTATACTGTATTATCATAGGGTATCTCTTGATTAACATTGTCTAGATTTGGTGTTGATCTGTTGTGGGTCAGACAAAATACAGTACTGTGCAGTACAATACCTGTATACTGTACATGTATAGTATTCAGGGATCAGATTCTCTACTTTATTATTGTGTAGTGGTAAGTGGACATTTTGGATCTAGTTATAGTAGACTCCGTGCAACTTTTTTTTTCTTTTTTACATTATTTTGTGTTTTAGTCTAAGTTAGCATGTTAGGTACATTGTTGCATCTTCAGTTGTGAGGAATATTCTTTGTACTGTATGAATCTATGAGAATCGGGCGCAGTACACGCAAGTCTGTGAGGTACTATTTTAGTTTATTGTGATAATAGCCATATTTTAGTTATAATTACTGTACATGTATCATGAATAGTAAAATATCAAACATTTACGGCATAAAAATATTCATATGATGTTAAATGCAGTGGAAACAGTAAGTGTAATTACAGTACAATGTTATGTTAATGTTGTATGATGAATTGTATAATGCATGTTAAATATTACAGTTGAATGTGTGTTATGGTGCATAAATGCAAGACTATAGAATGCGTGGTTTTATGGCACAACAAATATGAACAACACTGTATATATGTTATGTATGTATGTGTGTTCTAGCACATTAATATAAATCTTAGATACATGTTCATGGTTATTGTTATGCATCCTAATATCTGGTCTTGGCTTACCTACTGATTCTCTAGTTCTGATGCTCATTGATCTATAATGCGATTTTTTTTACTTGTTCAGGCAGGAGAAAAAAGTGTAAAATTTAATTCATCTGAACTAGAATAAAAAAAATAGTACGACCATGATGAATTAATAATTAGATTACTGCTATATTCAGAATCAATTCTGATTATTATTTATAACCAGGAATATGGTGATCTGATGCTGTAGTGTACACTCTGTATGTGTTGGTGTAGCAAGCTTGCACAACTCTGTCTAGACTTTAGCAAAACATTCAAAATGTGTTTGTGGAATTTATATCCTGCATTAGTACAGTAATACTAAACATTTTCTGAACAATTAGAGTGTGCAGGTATTTGCTATTCAAGTAGGCTTTGATTTCACACTCGGCAAGATTAAAAGTAAGTATATTGAATGTGTTATCTGGAAGGAACACATTGTTGGAGTATTGCTTGTGCAGTGCAATGAATTATACTGTCGTGTAGATATAATTCATGATTATGAAATTAGCTTTTTCACAGTTATTCTGTGCTAGTTATAACCTAGAATTTCCTTACATTACTATAGCTTAGTTGGTTTGGTTCTTATGTCTGCTAAATATGACCTGAAGTGATAGATGATTAATACAGACTGCTACTGAAGCGGTTATAGGTAACAGTACCTGATTATCTTTGTCAGTATATCAAATACTGTACAGTATTATTGTTGGTATCCACATGGGAACCTACTGACCATTACTTAAGGTAAAATTTCTGGGTCAGCAGCAGTTTGTTGAGCCTTCTAAGGCTAATAATTATTTTAAATGTAGTCCCCAGAGAGGTATCATCACGCCCACAGTGATATCTTACTGTATAAGTCCTCATGATGTTTATGTGGAGTATTATAAATGGTTGTGTGTGGCAGGATACGACTTAGTGGCATCACAGCTCCTGCAACAGCTGGTGGGTGAGAGCAGAAACATGACGGCTCCCACTACTGTCCCTGAGGCTGACCCTCTTCTCCGCTCTCTCCCGCCACCCAAGTACTTACTCTAACTGTTTTGTTTGTAGTAATATTTAAGATGTATTGTACTGTACAATATTACAGAATCACTCTTCACATTACGCTGTCATTTTCCTTCGGAAAAATATATTACTACAATCGAGAGTTTGTAATACATAAACAGTACTGTATTTTGGTGTCACTCTTAATCTTCATCGTTGGTCCTTGCATGACCCTACACATTTGTTTACACTTGACTACAACCAAATTCCATCACTTACTTTGCTTTACTTTCCTATGTTTCCTGCTCTATGATTTTCAGAGCTTCTGAGTACAAGGTGGCATTCAGCTCCCGTCCTCGCCTTGCCCGTACACCCCCAGGGTCTGCAGCCTCGAGCAGAGTGCCACAAATCTCCTCTGGTGTCTCCCCCAATAGTCCACGACACGTCCTGCCACCTATCTCAAGAACCAACCTCACCTACACCCGCGCGGTTACCTGAATCTCCCTCCTATCCATTTCTTCTATTAAACTCCCTATTTGTTATTAATATTTCAGTATTAATATTTTTTAGGGTAATTTTTTCTGAGGGCTGTAAACCTAATTACTCTTTCTGATTCAACACTAGAATAACTGGAAGTGTGCAAGGAAAGGCATCATGTTTGCCATCATCAGCCTTTGTGAACTGACAAAATTCTCTCCCACAATAGATATGCCAATTGCTGTTTAAAGATTTTCAACACATACATGTATACATACATACATACATACATACATACATACATACATACATACATACATACATACATACATACATATCTCATCAGTCCATATAGCATGCAGACTTCCACATACAAACAATACCTCACTAATCGGGAATCGACCCCACCCACCCCACCCACCACCCATACCCACCCACCCACCCACACCCACCACCCACACCCACACCCACCCACACCCACACCCACCCACCCACCCACCCACCCACCCACCCCACCCACCCACCCACCCACCCACCCACCCCACCCCCCCACCCACCCACCCACCCACCCACCCACCCACCCACCCACCCACCCATCCACCCACCCACCCCACCACCCACCACACCCACCCACCACCCACCCACCCACCCACCCATACCCACCCACCCCACACCCACCCACCCACCCACCCACCCACACCCACCCACACCCACCCCACCCACCCACCCACCCACCCACCCACCCACCCACACCCACCCACCCACCCACCCACCCACCCACCCACCCACCCCACCCACCCACCCACCCATACCACCCACCCACCCACCCACCCACCCACCCACCCACCCACCCACCCACCACCCACCCACCCACACCCACCCACCCCACCCACCCACCCACCCACCCACCCACCCACCCACCCACCCACCCACCCACCCACCCACCCACCCACCACCCACCCACCCACCCACCCACCCACCCACCCACCCCACCCACCCCACCCACACCCACCCACACCCACCCACCCACCCACCCACCCCACCCACCCACCCACCCCACCCACCCATACCCACCCACCCACCCACCCACCCACCCACCCACCCACCCATACCCACCCACCCATACCCACCCACCCATACCCACCCACCCATACCCACCCACCCATACCCACCCACCCACCCACCCACCCACCCACCCATAATTCCACCCACCCATACACCCACCCACCTATACCCACCCACCCACCCACACCCACCACACCCACCCACACCCACCCACCCACACCCACCCACCCATACCCACCCACACCCATCCCACCCACCCACCCACACCCACCCACCCACCCACCCCCACCCACCCACCCACCCACCCATACCCACCTACCTATACCTACCTACCTATACCTACCTACCTATACCTACCTACCTATACCTACCCACCCACACCCACCCACACCCACCCACACCCACCCACCACAACCCACCCACACCCATCCACACCCACCCACCCACCCACCCATAACCCACCCACACCACCCACCCACCCACCCACCCACCCATACCCACCCACCCATACCCACCCACCCATATACCCCACCCACCCATACCCACCTACCCACCTACACCTACCCACCTACCTACCTACCCACCACCTATACCTACCTACCTACCTACCTATACTCACCTACCTGTACATACATACATACATACATACATGGAGCAGGGGCAGTGTTGATATCCCCAAATCTGATTGAAAGCTTGAAGTTTATATTAAGAATTATAGGTCATGGAAGTATTAGAGTTTTCTACTTCCAGGTTACAACATGACCAGTTTAGAAATGCTAAGTTAATATTAACTTGTTATTATTTCCTTTTTGGGGAAATCTGGAAATGTTTATTTCTTATTTGGCTGTCATCGAGGAATATTGTACTATACACTATTCGTTAAGTTACTACTACAGTACTGTGTATATATAGTTGTATTTCCTGTATGCTTTAAATCCTTACAACCTTGTTTATGTCATATACTGTACTGAAGTTATTTATACTCTGTCTCCTGTGGGAGGGGTATAAAGTGTTTGCCTTTTCCATCCGTTCCTGTGTGCATCTGTCCATCAGGGGAGTGTTTCACTTGGGAGGGTTTACATGTTTTACAAAAATAATATAGTTTCTTACAAACTACAGTATAAAGACTTACAGTTAATATAAAACAGTCCAGTACAAACCATTGTATCATCTGCTCTAAATTTACAAGTGGGCTGTCACCAGGAACGTTTAGTAATAAGTTAAGAAACGGTTGTGCTGTTATAGCTGCTGCAAGTTAAGATGTGTAAGTGATAAGGAAGATAAGAGAAACTAGGGAAAACTGATACACACAGCCAGGCTGCTGTACTGTACTGTACTGTAGGCTACTGTACTGCATCACAACACCTGTGGGCGATGTCTAAAGAAGTAAACTGTAATGAACTGTTAAGTCACAAAATATACAGAAATATTTTATTTAAGATTATAGAGCAACATGAGTCATGACTCATGACAATCATTGGATGAATAACACCATATGGTTTATTTGTCCCTCTGTGTTTGTGTGTTTGCTTCTTTTTTTATACACAGTATTTTAGGTCACTATGTGTTGGGTGAAACTGAGATCAAGAGAATGTAATTAGTTTTTACCTTCACAGCATTTATAACTCGCTCTGTTACGTACAGTAATATTATAAATAAAGTTGTCACTGTTGAGAACATTGACACATTCTGGCCAATAAATACTGTAAGTGAAGTGATTAATTTACATATTCCTCAAGCAGGTCACGGGGTGGATGAACAACCAACATATTTTTCGTCTGGGTTGAAAGTTTTTATATGATACATCGTGACCAACTGGGAGATTGATCACACAGAATAAAACAACCAAAAAGCTCCTGGTTCAGTTTACCATCACAATATATGAGAAAACTAATTGTGATTATATATACAGTGAACCCTCACTTTACGCGGTCAATTGAACCCACGGCGGCCCGCATAAAGTGAGAAACGCAGAAAGTGAACAACATAACATATGGGATTAATTGAATTGAGACCGGGCCGACCCCTAAACTCCACTTATTCAGACACAATACCTACGTTGTAGTAAAATAATTTTAATTTTATGATGGTATGCACACACAATTAATAATTAAGAGAAATATCAATAATATTATGTTTTTTAACACTTACATTAGTAGAAAAGATGGCTGGGCACACGGGGGTGGGGGGTTGGTTCCGAGGCAGAGGGCAGATTATTGGCCCTCACCTGTATCACTTGTATCAATTGTAACACTATCCTTTCATTCCTCTCAAACCAGACAAGTTCCTACACTTAAGAATATTTTGACTCTGCCCTATCGTAATGAATTTGTCCCGTTAGTTCGGTCCCTCAAGCTTCTAAATATTAATGTTGTTTTCAAGTATGACTCAACCATTACCAATATGTTAATAAGGAATAACCCAAGTTTGAATGTAAATGGAAGTGTTTATTGTATTCCATGTAGCAAATGTAATTGTAATTATGTAGGACAGACAGGAAAAACACTGCAGCTCAGAATCAAACAACCTCTGACCCAGCTTGGAGAAGGTCGTGCCCGATCGTGCTCCCGTTAGAGACCAAGGAAAATGGCCGCTTTGGATCGTTGTGTCGTGGGGAAGGGAGTGTGGGGAAAGACGACCTCCTTGCCACTCTGTTAAGGCAGCTGGGGCAGTTGAGTAGTGAGGTTGACACTCTAAAGGGGGAAAAGAAGCCCTCAGGCCTGAACTCTCAGGTAGGTGTCCTGCTCAGGACACCTGCGAAGGAGGAGCAGGCGGGAGTGGTTGTCTCCAAGGGGACTAGGGTCAGGCTCAGGAAAGCTGACCAGGTGTGGAGGTAGTAACCCTTACCAGGTGCTGCAGGAAGCTGGCGAGGAAGAGAAGAGGCAGGACGGTATGGATCAAGGAGAGGAAAGGGCAGTTGTACAAACCCTGCCCACAGGTAAGGTCGTGGTAGTTGGTGACAGTCATGAGTTTATGGATAGGGCTTTGTGCGAGAGATAGGAACGTAGGACTAGGGGTGTGTTTTCCTGGGCTGGGATAGGGCATGTAGCCGAGGAGGTTAGACAGGGTTTTGTCAGAGGTACCAACCAGCGTGGGAGGAAAACGACAGGTTAGGAGTGAGGAACTTTTCAAGAGGTATGGGGAGGCTGGGGAAGATTAGAGATAGGAGGGATCCCGATAGTATGTGGTGTCTTGCCGAAGAGGGGTTGTCTTGAATGGCTGTCCAGGGCAATTGCTATAAATTTCCGACTGAAAACAGTAAACAATGGTTGGGCATTCATTGATAACTGGCAACGATTCTATGGCAACGATTACTGAAATGTCTGACTTATACTGTCTCGTGAGGGGGTAGGACGTTGTCTGCATCCTGGGCGTGAAATTGTCACCTGGAAGGGGGGTTTGCCAGCAGAGAGGTCAAGTGAGTCAAAACAGGTCCTAAGTAAAATTAGTTGCTCAGGACAAGGGTAAACAGGACCAGGGAAGAGTGAGTTTAAATGTATACTATACAAACAGTAGAGCGTTAGAAATAAAATAGACTTGCTGAGAGCGGTTGTATGTACTGAGAATGTAGACGTCATAGCAATCACTGAAATTTGGATGAATCTGGCAGCAAAAATTTTATCAGAGTACCACATAGAAGGGTACAACCTTTTCACAAGGAGGGAAGGGGAAGGGGGTCGCACTCTTCGTCAAGGATACATTAAAATGTTGTATTAATAATTCAATAAAGGGTGAAATAGGAACCAGTTAAAAGGAGTAGAAATCACAAGAAGAGAAAAACTAATATGGGGAGTACAGGCCTCCAAGTCTTGGGAAGGAAGCAGCTCAGCCCATATGGCAGGAAATGAGTAGGGCAGCAAAATATAACAACCTGTGCATTATGGGGATTTCAACTTCAGAATGATCAACAACATTGTAGGTGACTGAATCTGAAGACTCCTAGATGCAGTACAGGACAATTTTTGAAACAACTAATTACAGAACCTACTTAGACAATATTAGACCTAGTATTAACAAATAAAGAAAATATTATCAGAGATATCACAGTAGAACAGTGATCACAGAGAATTCAGGCTCACCCTAAATTGGGAAACGAAAAACAATGGCAATATGATCAGAGTCCCAAACTTTCGGTTGGTGGATTATCAGGGGTTAAGAAGGTAACATAAGAATGGAGGAAACTGCAGCGGGCCTATTGGCCCATACTGGGCAGTCCCGGTTACACCCAACCCCTATTGCTCATATAAGCATCCAACCTATGTTTGAAGCAGTTCAGCGTATTCGAGTTAATGATGATATTTGGTAACTTGTTCCATTCATCCACTACTGTTTCCAAACCAGTGTTTACCTATTTCACGCCTAAATCTAAATTTGTCTAATTTAAAACCATTGTTACGAGTTTGCTCCTGGTTGGATAGTTTGAGTACCTTAGTAATGTCCCTTTGTTTAGCCCTTGCCTTCCACTTATACACCTCATCAGGTCGCCCCGCCCACGCCTCAAGGAGTGCAAATTAAGATGCTTTAACCTGTCTCTATACTCAAGGTTCCTAATGCCTATTAGTCTTGTCATTCTCCTCTGAATTCTTTCCAAGGATTCTGAGATCCATTTCTATATCCGACTAAGAACGATGTGTCTGTCCCCAGTAGGAAGGGAGTGAATGTGGTGACACAACAATTGATCTTGACTATAATATATTCACTAGTATTCTACATAAAGCTGTAAGAATATACCATACAGAAAAGAATTAGGTCAAATAAGAGAATAGGCCAAAATTGGATGACTAAAAAACTTAGAAACATGACATAGGAATAAAGAAAGTAATTTACTTAGAAATTAAAAGAGGAGGGGAGGAGCAGCTCAGGAAATAGGTATAATGAACTATCTAGGAATGTTAAGAAAAATGTAGAGAGAAAGCAAAGAGAGACTATAGAATTTAAGAAAGCAAGAAGATCAAGGCCCGAATCCCAAAGGGATTTTTCAGAAATATATATAGAACAAGGGTCAGACGAAGTTGGGCCTTCCCCCAAGTCAGGGAGGGAGAAATAAATGGCGTCGAAAATGGCAAAAGCATTGAACAGCTACTTCTTATCAGTTTCTGAAAAGAAATTCGCGAGAATTCAGAGGTGGAACTGATATTTAGAGAGAAAGAGAAGAAGAGAAATTAAAGAATATCACTATCAGAAAAAGGGATCTGGCAAGAGGGATAAATAAACTAAAGAAGACAAAATTCCCAGAGCGGGATGAAATTTTTTCCTCGAGTCTTGAAATTAACAAGGGAACAGATTAGCGGACCCTCGTAAATTTATTTACAAAATGCTAAAACACAGGCGTTGTGCCAGACTTGTGAAACAGGCAAATGTAGTTCCCAAATTTAAAAGACAGAGCATCAGCGTCAAATACTGGCGATCAGTTTGGCGTCAGTAATGGGGAAATTTCTTGAATCAATTATAGCGGACACCCGATAGCATTTAGAAGAAAAAGCAAATTAATCTACGACTCTCTAGCATGGAAGGTTTCAAAAATCAGTCCTAACAAATCTTACTGACGTTTTTTTAGGAAAGTCTTCGAGAAGTAGATAAAGACGAAAAATTACGATGTTTATTCGTGGAGCTTTAGCAAAGCGTTTGACGGAAATGCGCGCATCAAACTGAAAGATTCAAGGCTCTACATGATGTCGAGAAAGTTTTAAATTGGATAAATCATGGCTCACCGATAGGCGCCAGAGGTCAAGCGTAGATGGTGTTAAATTTGAGTGGGGCCGTGTTACCGTGGGGTTTCCCCAGGGGTCAGTACTAGGCAACCGCGCTCCATAATCTACATAAACGATCTGAATACTGGGATCGCGTGACATAAGCAAATTTGCGGAATGACACCAAAATGGGGCAACAGATTAATTTGGGGCAGGATGCAAATGCACTCTGGGAGGATCTAAATAAACTGCAGGGGTGGTGCGAAAAATGGCAAATGAGAATTCAACACCCTTAAGTGCGGCGTGCCAACATTGGAAGAACAAAATTGTCAATGTATGCAACCTTAACAACATCAACACAAAATTTAGGCTTGCAGAAAAGACCTAGGGGTACTAATCGGACTGACAGAGTAGAGAGCAGTGCGTTAATGTTCATGGAGAAACCAGAAAACAGAGTATTGGGTTTTATATCTAGAAGTGTAAGTAATAGAGTGCAGAGGAATGCTTATTACCTTCTCTCTTACGTTAGTCAGGCGCACCTCGATTATGCGGTTCAGTTCTGGTGCCCTTATTATGAAAATGGATATCAATCCACCCTGACCGGTTGCAGCGAAGAATGACAGCGATACGGACTTAAAACTATATCAGGATAAGTTAAAAAAAGAAACTAAACTTGCATTCCCCAGAAAGACGAAAGAGAGTGCGGGAGATATGATAGAAGTATTGAAGTGGTGAAAAGGGAATCAATAAAGGGGTATAGATAAAGTTCTTATACTATCCGAGCAGGAGATGGAACTCGAACAACGGATTTAAGTTGGATAAGTTTAGGTTTAGGAGAATGGGAAAGAAGGAACTGGTTTCACAAATAGAATTAGTGGGGCATAAAGCTTAACTTTGTAGTAGTCTTAGGACACTGGAAAGTTTCAAAAGGCTGGATAGATTCATAGATGATAGAAGTGGTAGTAACTCTCGACAGGAGCACCCATACTAGGCATCCAGCCTATTGCAGACTCCTTATGTTCTTATGTACTGTATGTATGTATGTATGCATGCATATACTGCACATATGTATGTATGTATGTATATAAATATATACATTATATATACATACATACAGATACATATATATACATACTATGTATGTATATGTACTGTATGTATGTATGTATGTATATGTACTGTATGTATGTATGTATATGTACTGTATGTATGTATATGTACTGTATGTATATATACTGTATGTATGTATGTATATGTACTGTATGTATGTATGTATATGTACTGTATGATTGTATATGTACTGTATGTATGTATGTATGTATGTGTACTGTATGTATGTATATGTACTGTATGTATGTATATGTACTGTATGTATGTATGTATGTATATATGTATATGTACTGTATGTATGTATGTATGTATGTATGTATGTATGTACTGTGTGTGCATGTATGTATGTATGTATGTACTGTGTATGTTATGTATGTACTGTGTATGTTATGTATGTATGTATACACTGCATGTATGTATATGTACTGCATGTATGTGTATGTACTGTATATATGTATGTATATGTATGTACTGTATGTATGTATATGTACTGTATGTTTGTATATGTACTGTATGTATATGTATGTATGTATATGTAATGTGTGTATGTATGTACTGTATGTATGTATGCATGTACTGTCTGTATATATGTACTGTATGTATGTATGTATGTATGCACTGTATGTATGTATGCACTGTATGCATGTATGTACTGTATGTATGTATGTATGCACTGTATGTATGTACTGTATGTATGCATGTGTGATTGTGTGTCTGTTACTACAGTACAAACACGTGAGATACTGGGAGACAAACAGGTGGTTTTCTTCTCACAAGTGACGCTGAGTGACGGTAAGTGACGCACGACACCTATTAAAAATGTTTGTTGTCGAGTGATATCGCGGCCAAGGAACTGTCGTGTGTACATTATGTGAAAGACCAGGTGAGTCCTCCTGTCCACCACACACACACACATACGAGTATATGTAGAAAATGAAGAGTGTTTAGTTTCCTTCCACCTGTAGTATAAAATCCATATCTTTGTGACCGAAATACTTGTGAAAAGATGAATTAATTTTTCTTGAGGCGAGTCTCAATCAGCTACATTCTGCCATTCAGTACAAACTTGGTCGACCAGTGATGTTTCCCGTCCCATCCCGCCTTGCCCCACCCCGCATTCTTCGTCTTTCTAGGGAATACAAGTTTAGTTTCTTTAACCTATCTTGATATGGAAGGTTTCTAAGTCCCGGAATCATTTTCGTCATTCTTCGCTGCACCGACTCTAGTGAATTGATAACCATTCTATAATAAGGACACCAGAACTGAACCGCATAACCGAGGTGCGGCCTGACTAGCGCAAGATATAGTTGCAATAAGACCTCTGCACTCTTATTACTTACACTTCTAGATATAAAACCTATTACTCTGCCTTATTTCGAACATTAACGCACTTTTTTAGGCTGTACGTCGGGGCTTACAAGTGCCCCTAAGTCTCTTTCACAAGTCGACTTCTCTAGGTTGATGTTAAGGCTGTATACATTGACAGTATTTGTTCTTCCAATATTAAGTACGCTGCACTTGCTGGTGTTGAATTTCATTTGCCATTTTTCAGACCACTCCTGCAGTTTATTTAAATCCCCCTGTAGTGCATTTGCATCCTGCCCTGAATTAACCTGCCGCCCTATTTTGGTGTCATCCGCAAACTTGCTTATGTCAATGCTGATCCCAGTATCTAAATCGTTACACAGCCCCACTCAGATTTAACACCATCAACCCTGACCCTCTGTTCTATCGGCGAGCCATGATTTTATCCAATTTAAAACTTTCCCCTCGATACCATGAGCTTTAACTTTTCTCAGAAGCCTCTGATGCGTTACTCTGTCAAACGCTTTGCTAAAGTCTACGTAAATAAACATCGTAATTTTCGTCTTTATCTACTTCCTCGAAGACTTTCCTAAAAAATGTCAGCAGATATGTTAGACAAGATTTTCCCTTTGTAAACCCACGATGAGAGTCGTAGATTAATTTGTTTTTCTCTAGGTAGAACATATGGTAATTAGAGTTTCTATAGTACAGTTGGCTATTTCATTTAGGATGTATCATTTTACACCTTAACATTACGAAACCTTCCCTATGTTAGTGGTATGATTATGTTAGTTAGATTAGGTGGAGTACTGATGCGATTTATTTATGACGTAATATGTTAATCATGTCGAATGTTGGAGTTATCACTCAGATAATTAGCTTTCCAATAACGTTATATCAATGCCGTCATCTTCCCCGTGACGTAAACACATTTGGGTAAAAGATGGTTGACGTGTGTAGGCGATGTGACCCAGCGGAGGGTGAGGAAGGTATATTAGGGGTAGAAAGAGGTGGTGGCGCCTCACACTTACCCTACCGCAAACATGACTGGTGTGCTGGTGAAGACCTGCCTGCTGGGGGCCCTCGCCCTTACCCTCCTCCAAACAGGTATATACACACACAATTCTTAAACACATATGCAATGACTTGCTCTATATATGTACAGTTACACTTTTACTCCACACTTAACCACAGTTGTTACACACACACACACACACACACGTGACATAATATTAATACAGAAGTACAGCCTCACAATAACAATTACACACAGGGAAAACATTACCTTAAATAGATCAATGCCCATAAGTAAATTTTAGTTTACATTAAAAAATGGAATCACATTAAGCTAATTATTCATCACCTGAGAACCTGATGTCATATCGAAGACTTTAATCATATTATACATTATTTAGACGCTGATGTAGTACAGTTATACACCATGTAATAGTGTAGTACATGTGCAGTTAAACATCCTCTGGTGGCCCCACAGCGGAGGCTCAGTGCCCGGAGGTGGTCATCACCAACGAGTGGGACGGCAACTACCAGGCGGACTTCATCGTGGAAGCTCCTGCAGACAGCAACGGCATCAGTCTGGACCTAACCTTTAGCTCCCCCGTGGACAGCATTGAAGTAAGTTGGAGTTGTTTTAGTTTGTTGACGATGGTGTTGATACGTTAATGCGTCTGTCAATGTGAGGTGTCTCCGGTAGTGTCTGGTGGAATGTTTTTAAGGCTGGATGGGTTCGGTTTAGCTTCTACAGTTTGTGCAGTAAAATGAACGACAGCGGGAAGGTTTCTGAGGTACGAAGGTCATGGTGTGTGTTTATATGGATTATCTACCTAAATTACCTAGTAATGGAGAAGTGTGAGCGAGTTTTCATTAACACGTAGTAAACACAACAAAATTACACGGATATTGTCTTGTCTTAACAGTTCTGGGCTGGCTCGGTGACCAAGACAGACGACACACACTTCACCCTCGTTGACTCCAAGACCGACGTGCACGAGGGAGATCAGATCAAATTTTCCTTCCAGGTCCACTTCTCTGCCTCCAAGCCTTACGTCATCACCGAGGTGCTAAACGGCTTGGAAATATGCGGTAGGTGTTGACACGTTGTAGGGGCGAAAGTCTGCTGTCACCTATTATAGGGAATCTAATTCCTATAATACTTTACTTTCTTTTTCTGTTTCACTACTTCAATATTTACTGTACTTTCTGACTTAACTTCTGACCTGTGGTAGCATGACTCGCTGGTAAATGTAATAATGGTACCATGATATGGAGGAAGTAAAGGTGGGCACTGTAGGAAAATAATACAACTAACATAAATAAAAAATGTTTTATTAAAATAATTCTAGACTTGACTACTTCCAGTAACACACTAGTGCCAATATCAACTCCATGGCAATACTCAGACACTTGTCAACAAGGTACCTTACATATTCCACAATCATAAGAACATAAGAATGGAGGAAACTGCAGCGGGCCTATTGACCCATATTGGACAGTCCCGTTTATACCCAACCCCTATTGCTCATATAAGCATCCAACCTATGTTTGAAGCTATCCAGTGTATTCGAGTTAATGATGATATTTGGTAACTTGTTCCATTCATCCACTACTCTGTTTCCAAACCAGTGTTTACCTATTTCACGCCGAAATCTAAATTTGTCTAATTTAAAACCATTGTTACGAGTTCGCTCCTGGTTGGATAGTTTGAGTACCTTTGTAATGTCCCCTTTATTTAACCCTGACTTCCATTTATACACCTCTATCATGTCGCCCCTCACTCTACGTCTCTCGAGAGAGTGCAAATTAAGATGCTTTAACCTGTCTCTGTATTCAAGGTTTCTAATGCCCTGGATTAGTCTTGTCATTCTCCTCTGGACTCTTTCCAAGGATTCTATATCCATTCTGTAATACGGTGACCAGAACTGAACTGAACTGCGTAATCCAGGTGAGGTCTCACAAGCGCTAGATATAATTTTAAGATGACCTCCCTAGTCTTGTAACTAACACTCCTTTGTATGAACCGAAGTACTTTATTAGCCTTGTTACGAGCAAAAACACATTGTTTACTTGGCTTAAGATTCCTACTCACCCATACTTAGTGTACTTGTAGAAAACATATACACTGTAAATATACATAGAGTACACTTGGGATCCAACAACAACACAGAGAACCTGAGAGATTGTTCTCGTTGACAGAACAGGACTCGTAGCACTGGTATTCCAAATAAATACCTCCCTTGCTACTCCCTTCTCAAGAAAACGTGGCGGCCCTCACACTAGGTTAACTCCAGAAACTCATACAATTGGAGATGGTATACCAGAATACACGGGCGAAATTACGACCCACGCACTACTCAGAGGTAGACTCATACCAACAACGACACGGCTCACCACATAACCGTGTTGGCGGAGATATCCGATCTTATGGACATTCATCCATCTCCAAATACTAGTGTGGGCGTCGTCCCGGGGTCGACAGGACCAGCTTGGTCTAGATTGCCCACGAGGGAGCTAGTTTATTGAGCACCCCCTTACATCCTGTGCAAGGTGAAGCGCAGAAGCGTTTACAGTGCCCATCAGGGAAGCATGCGGAGATCATGCTTGCCTTTATGACTCAAGCATTAAGGGCGTAAAAGCCTGAAGGGTCATGGGTTTTGTCAGCAAGTTACATAAAGTGACAGAATGATGAGTGTGTATTATTACAGGAGGGAAATTTCCGATACCATATATCTGTTTATGGCAAAGTGTGGCAGGTCCCTAATAATGTCAAGTGCCAGGCCTGTCACTAGGAGGGATATCTGGTTAGGGAGGGAAGAGGTGTTGGTAACGGCTGGGGACCTGTAGGAGGAGGTCATAGGGCAAGTGAGGATGTAGGGAGAGAGGGTGTGAGAGTCGGTTGACCACAAAGTTTACAAACGGTGCAGCCAGGCTCAGGGTTACCTACAGGTACCTGTTTACGGAGTGGGGTCGTGGCCAAGAGTGAGTGACATGAATGTCGTAACATTTTAGCTAGGCTGAAGGCACATGAACACTACTTAAAACACACCACAGCTACGTTAATGGCTCACTGCATATTCACACAATAAATAACTAAGTCAAAAACATACGTTTAATGTTTACATTTCAAACAATTATCTCACTTCTATAATACAAGACTGACAACACTTTCTATATTACATCGGATTCTCTGGTGCTGATATATCAAAACAGATTGACCAGCCTCGAACGGCCGCCGTGTAAGAACACACGAGACGTAAGATACAGCTGACAAACCTAGTACTACTCCACACACAATCTCTGAACACGAAATATTCGACATAAAATATACAAGATGCCTTCAACAAATTGACTGTATAAAAAATTCATTCACTCACAATTTCAAATTCCCTGAACATCCCGAGTTAATAAAAAAATACCCGAGTCCCTAAGTGAGTAAACAAAAGGAAAACGCAGGACTAAGACATCCTGAAGTGGATAGAGAACGGACGTCTCTACTTGGAGTCTTAACGTTTCACCTCTTTTGTGGGCGCTGTAGCATAATATGAATAATTACGTGTTGAACGGACTAACTGCACAAACGTGACCATGACAACGTGACCCAGCAAATTATAGTTAAAATATAAATTAAAGTCAGTGGTGGTGGTCACGTGTGTTTATCTCTGCTTATTTTTTGTTTTTATATTATTGGGCACTCCCCTACATCCTTGTGTAAGGTGAAGCGCAGAAGCGTTTACTGTGCCCAACAGGGAAGCATGCTAAGTTCATGCTTGCCTTTATGTCTCATGAATTCAGGGCATAGAAGCCTGAAGAGTCAATTGTTTATGTCATCAAGTTATTGGAAGCTCCAACAACTTGTCCCTGAATACGAATTCGCAACTTTCGATTTACACCAGGTACCTACTTTACTGCTAGGTGAACAGGGACTAATGGGGGCTAGGAAGTATGTCCAAACAACTTCCACCGGCCTAATGAGTTATGTTTATGTCCTTCAGTTTGTATCTTGACGTGGTACTTTGACTCCTGCAGTTATAGAAGTACTCTTGGCCACAATCTCCCTCCATAGTGTCTGTAAGCTACCTCAAACTAGATTTAAGTAGAATGCCATCAAGATTGGCTGAGAAAATAAAGTAAAACAGATAAAAATTAATAAATTCTCTCTTTTGTATCGTACAGACTTTTATTCCCGCTGTTTCTCTTATCATTATCTCTCTCGTTACTTCCCTCTTCTTTAACCGCCGCGTCTATCACCACTTACTCATTCCTATACCCCCCCCCCTCACGCCTCCAGACACGATCTACACTACGCCTGCGCCTCCGTCAACACCCGAGCCCCTGGCCAACCCTTGTGACGCCACCGATATGAAGCCTTATGACTACAGCCAGGTTAGTAAAGTACCAACGCTTACTGGAGCTTGATAATATGACAACTGAACTTTGTAGATAATTTTTATCTTTCCTTTTATCCCACGTCCATTATAGCTTATCCCTTATCCCTTGCTTCAGGTTTCTTCTCCTTAGTCTCTTGTTTCAGGTACCCTCCTCCATTATAGCTTATTCCTTCTACCTTGCTTCAGGTTCCTCATTGTACTTTGCTTCAGGTCTCTCCTCCTTTGCTCTTACTTCAGGTCCCTTCCTCCATTTTCACTTGCCTCATTCCACGTGTCCCTCGCCTCTCGCTCCTCACTGTCTCACACCTCGTCCTTCACTCCCAGGTACTGTGTATGTCGTACGTGTTCTACGAGGCCCAGCGATCAGGTCCTCTGCCCGCGGATCAACGTGTCACTTGGCGAGGCGACTCTGCCCTCGACGACGGCTCTGATGTGGGTCATGACCTAACTGGCGGCTATTATGATGGTGAGGAGAGGGAAACACACACACACACACACACACACACACACACACACACACACACACACACATACTCCTGATTTATGTACTGTACAGTCCTGTAAATGTATTCAATGCATATTATATCATTATGTCTAAATCAAATGTAAGTCTGTATATTTTCGGCCACCGGCTGCAACTCTATTAATAACCGTTTATTAATATTATTATTATTACACACACACACACACACACACACACACACACACACACACACACACACACACATCACCCCCCACAACCTCTCCTAATACTTCTCATTCCTGGCCCACAGCTGGCGACTTCGTCAAGTTTGGGTTCCCGATGGCTTACACCGCCACTGTGTTGGGCTGGGGTCTCATAGACTTCGCTGAGGGCCACGAAGCTGCTGGTGAGTGTTACTAACTAAAACTAACTAACTTATCAACTAACTTACTAAAGCTAACTTACTAAAACTAACCAACTTACTTACTTACTGTGACATAAATGAGTCTGGCTGGTGAAGGAATTGGCATACTTGTGTGGCAGCGTACTGACTTTGCTGTGTCTCTCGCAGGTCAGCTGGAGTACGGTCAGGCGGCACTTAAATGGGCCACCGACTACTTCCTCAAGGCTAACACCGGCAAGAACGAGTTCTACGGACAGGTGAGACTTCAGATATTTACCGTACGAATGACCACAGCATAAAGAAACTTTGTGATACAGTTTTATTTCACTAATTATACCTTCGAGTTAGCTAGTACAGAATGATAAGTGACTACAGTGTAATATGTATACAAGAACACTTTTAGGGTGATGTAGTGAATGTCTAATTACTGAAATCATATAGTAGTTGAGGTAATTGATTCTTCATAGTACAAATATTCTGTACTGAGTAATGCATGTAATAATACTGTACACTTGTGGGGCTCAGACTGTGAACAACGATTCGTGCCTTAACATTTGGTCTTAGATTCCCTTGTACTTGTACTTTAATTTAATAAGATGATCTATAAGACTTATATTACTCATCTGTAGGAAAATGAGTCATATGCCTTATAAATGATGACCAGGCGAAATGTTGTGTACTGCGAGCGTTAAGTACCTTTGAAACAATGTTAATAGCTTATAAATTGTTCGTCTCTTTTGTTTCTTTGGATATTTGCGATTTAAAGAAAATGAAGCTGGATGGAGTAACTTAACTAAATAGAAGTATATAATAATTTTCACTTTACCATCCAAATATGTTCAATCTTCTTTACTATGAATAATTTTTCATATGATTTAGACAATATATCTGAAAACACAACGTAAAAATATAATAAGTTCAATGAATTACATTTTCACACTTGAACTATATTAAGTGATGTGGAGCGTCTGTATACAATTTCCTTTACCCGTGTACCAATGAGGGCTTGGTAGGTTTTAATAATATTTTTTTTTTTTTTTTTTACGGGGAGTAGCCCAACCGGGCACAGGTCACTGACTCACATCGGGGCCTGGGGGCGAAAATGTAATAATAATAATAATAATAAAGAGCCATAAAGAAACACACAAAAAAACATCAAGAGTGAGAAACAATATACAGTATGTATGTGGTGTTGTCAATGGTAAGAGAAACAATTGAGACCCTGCAATTGTGTGTAAATGAGGCAGAAAGTCACGAGAGTCTTACTAGATCATACCTCAGTATGCTCACTGGGGCCACACAAGGTTCATTTAAAGGATAATTGGAATCCTACACGGTAAAGTTACATTATATCCTTCAGAAAATCCTCCAGGATATATTAATATATTTGAGAAGTATGCAAAGTCTAATGAATTTGTAGGGTTTATTCACAATCTACTGAGAGCCACATAAGGTTAATAATTATATATCCTAGTAAAAGTGTTGTAGGATCCAAGAAATGGGCTGAGCCAGGCACACACGCTATAACACTCGCGTTGTGCTTCAGGTTGGCTCCGGTCAGAAGGACCATGCCTATTGGGGACGACCTGAGGACATGGACATGGAACGACCAGCCTGGAAGATCGACGAAGCTGCCCCAGGTTAGTCCAGAACTTACCAAGCTAGCGTGTCAGGAATCCTTCATCAGGGTTCTTTGAAAAATCCTTCATCTGTACTTTTTGAAGAGTCCTTAATCCGTATTTTTTGAGGCGTGTTTGTTCCTTGATCTTTATAATTCATTAGCTCATCCTTCCCTTCTCCAGGAACGGAGTTGGCCGCTGAGACAGCTGCTGCCCTCGCCGCTGCTGCCATGGTCTTCAAGGTAATAACGGATGATTTTATGTCCTGGTACAGTCCTTTACTTTTACTTTTATCCTCTTCACTGATCGGCTCGTTAGCCGCTTGGGCGATCGGTCACGTCTGTTAGGCACTGTTGGCAAGTACTTGGCACCGAGCTTACACTCGGTGCCGTCACAACACTTTCTGGTAGATGGTTCCAAGAGTTCACAACTCTCACTCCGAAAAAGTTTGCCCTCACAGTTTTCTGGACCTGCGGCTTCTTCAATCTTGAGCTGTGACCCCTTGTGGGGCGAGCGTCCGCCAGCTCCAGGTACGGACACTCGACTGAGTAGTGCCCCTTGAGATGCTTATACACCTCAATTAGGTCGCCCCTTGCCCGTCTGTAGTATAAGCTAGGCAAGTTCAGGCGCTCCAATCTCTCAGGGTAGTTGAGGTGCCGAAGTGCAGGCACCAGTCTGGTGGCCCTCCTTTGAACATTTCCAACCAACTGACAGTCCCTGGCATATCTTGGAGACCAGACGGGGTGACAGTACTCCAGATAGGGAAGCACTTCACTCTTAAAGATCGTTACGAGGGACAGACCGTCTAGATATCTGAGCGAACTTATCATGAGACCTAATAATTTATTTACCTGATTTCCCTTCTCGCAATGGCCCGAGAACTTCAGCTCATTGTCAACATACACACCTAGGTCCTTCTCACATTCAGTCTCAAATTGTCCAGTTTCTTCACCTCGTTGGGATATAATATGATGTGCCTCCTTACCGTTGGTACGCCCCAGGTGCATCCTCTTACACTTCGTGACATTGAATCTCGGCAGCCATTTCTTCGACCATTCTTGGAGCTCACAGAGATCCTTCTGCAGCTCTTCACAGTCCGCTTGGTTCTTGAATTCCCGAAGTAACTTGGCATTATCTGCAAACATTTGTATTTATTTATTTTTTTTGTTTTACGGGGATTAACCCACCCTGGCACAGGTCACACACCCACATCAGGGCCTGGGGGGCGAAAATGTAATATTAATAATAATAATAATATAATAATAATAATGAAATTTATAATAAAAAAAGAATAAAATAATAATGATAATAATAACAATAACAACACTGTAGTAATAATAATAAAGAACCATAAAGAAATTAAAAAAGTGAAAAAAAAATAATAGTGAGAAACAATATATGTATGTTGTGTTGTCAATAGTAAGAGAAACAATTAAACATAAGAACATAAGAACATAAGAAAGTGGGATACTGCAGGAGGCCGACTGGCCCATACAGGGCAGATCCCTTTCACACCCATCCCAGCACTTCCATGTGCCTATCCAACTTCGTCTTGAAGCTCCCTAGCGTCCCCGATCCTACTATAGCACTCGGTAGCCTATTCCACATATCCACAACTCTATTACCAAACCAGTGCTTGCCTATATCCTTTCTGAATCGGAATTTATCTAATTTAAAGCCATTTGTTCTAGTTATTTCGTTATTACTGAGCTTCAGAACATCTTCCATTTTACCCTTGTTAATCCCACTTACCCACTTGAACACCTCTATCATATCTCCCCTAACTCTACGCCTCTCTAATGAATGCAAGCCTAAGCTTTTCAGTCTTTCTTCATATGGAAGGTTTCTAATATTATGGATCATTTTTGTCATTCTTCTTTGTACTCTCTCCAAAGAATCTATGTCCATTCTATAATAAGGACACCAGAATTGAACCGCATAATCCATGTGTGGCCTCACTAATGCTAGGTAAAGTTTCAAGATAACGTCAGCAGTTCTGTTACTCACACTCCTAGATATGAACACAAGAATCCTGTTTGCCTTGTTGCGAACGCTAATACATTGTTTTCTAGGTTTCAAGTCGTTGCTAACAAATACACCTAGATCTTTTTCACAATCTGAGTTTTCTACTTCCGTGTTACCTAGTTTATACTTAACGTTTGTATTCGTCTTCCCTATCTGTAGTACCTTGCATTTATCAGTATTAAAATTCATTTGCCAGTCTACTGACCACTCATGTAAGGTATCTAGATCTCTTTGAAGGTGTTCAAAGTCACTGTCTGAGTTTATCAGTCTCCCCATTTTGGTATCATCTGCAAATTTACTAATCCTACTAGTTATACCTAAATCAAGATCATTAATGAATATAACAAACAGCAGAGGGCCTAATACAGATCCCTGGGGAACTCCGCTTTTGACCGCACCCCAGTCTGACTTAAATCCATTTATGCTGACTCTTTGTTTCCTACCAGTTAACCATGACCTAATCCGTTTTAATAATGATCCACCTATTCCATGTGCTTCTACCTTCCTTATCAATCTCTCATGAGGGACTCTATCGAATGCTTTACTGAAATATAAATAAATTATGTCATATGACTTATCATTATCTACCGCTTCATATACTTCTGAGAAAAAGCTAAGCAAATTTGTGAGACAAGAACGTCCATGGGTGAACACGTGCTGAGAAGAATGAATTAAGTTGAATGTTTCAAGGTGGCTTCTGATTTTTGTAGCAATAATTGACTCTAGCAACTTGCCTATGATTGACGTGAGACTAATGGGACGGTAATTTGATGCAATTGACTTATCACCTTTTTTGAAAATCGGAACTACATTTGCAAGTTTCCAAGCTTCTGTGTGTAAATGAGGCAGAAAGCCAGATCAGCAACCTGGGACTTGATCACAATTTTCGTGATGCCATATGGCAGCAGGGTCTACCATTAGACAACACGTTAAGCTTCCAATATCTTCCCAGGCGGTAGTACCTCCCTGTTTGATAGCTGCCTACTACCTACAACGTCAGGCATGTCATTTATGAAACGAAAAAACAATAGCGGGCCCAATACACTGCCCTGTGGTACCCCGCTTGTGACAGGTACAGATGATGATTTCGTGCCTTTAATCACCACACACTGCTTGCGGTCATGTAGAAAGTCTTCTATCCACGCTAGGACATTTCCCCGAATTCCATACCCTTCCAGTTAGATTTTCAGCCTTTCATGGGGTACACTGTCGAAAGCCTTGGCAAAATGTAGGTGTATATTGTCAATAATACCACCCCATTCCAGAATATGGGTCCAAATATCCAATACCTCGAGCAAATATGTTAAGCAGGAGCGCCCCGGCATAAAACTGTGTTGGCAATCCTTTACAAGGTTGTTTCGTAGTAGATGTTCCATCGTGGCATCTCTGATAATACTCTCAAGTACTTCACATACTGGGCTGGTCAGGCTCACCGGTCTATAGTTGTTCGTGGAGTGACGATCGCCCTTCTTGAAGATAGGACTCACATAAGCCATTTTCCACTCAATGGGGACCTTTTGCTCATCCAGGCATTTACAGAACAGGATCTTCAGGGGCTCGGCAAGCTCGTTGCACAGCTCTCTTAGCACTATGGTATGCACCGTGTCAGGGCCGGAACTCGTATGGACCTTTAGCTTTGACAGTTTATTTCTTATACCCTCTTCTGTGAACACAATGTGGGTCAGTGCTGTGTCGAACCGTCTGTCCTCAAACGCATGAAGGGTACTCGCATCCTCTCTTGTGAACACCGAGGAAAAGAAGCTGTTCAATGCCTCAGCTTTATCCTGGTCTGAATCTGCGTAAATACCATCTTCAAGCCTCAGGTTTGATACTCCTACTCGCGTTTTTAATTTCGACTTTGCATAGCGGTAAAACGCCTTTGGGTTTGATTTGACCTCGTTTGCAACCAGCCTCTGGGAGTCCTTTTCAGTCTTTCTACAAAGGCCTTTGCTTGGTTCCTGGCTCTTGCATACATCATCCTGTCCTGCCCATGGTTTGACCTAACCCACTTCTTGAATTTCTGTTTTTTCTTCTTAACTTTGTCGACCGCCGCATGGTTCATGTGTAGGGATCCCATCGTATTCCTAGAGGCACTGGGTTTGTTCTTGGGTATATATTCATCGATCAATTGGGTCACTTTACTAGTTATGATATTCAGCATAGTGTCTGCGTTCTTGTGCCTTAGTGAGTCAGGCCAGTGGATTCCTTTCATTTCTTCCCTCATCCAGTCGTAATTTCCCTTGTAATATTTGCACCTTGGCCTGGCTTTATCTTGAACTAGGTAACAGTAAATCTGAATGACAACACTGTATGGTGACTGGTGCCAACTGGGGCAAGATGTTCCAGTTTGGCCACCATACCCTCCTCGTTTGTTATGATAAGGTCTAGTGGCTTGGATGTTTGCTCCCCTCTGTAATGAGTCGGGTCTCTAACATGTTATAACCCATGTACATTGTACACCCGTCCCCGTTCCTCCTTGACTCCTCCCTCTTCTGCTTCAAGCTCTCCAGTCAGTTGTTTGTCTGTTTATTATATGATGGCCTTACCCAAGATGTCCTGTACCTCTCTCTCCCTTCCTCAAGTGCATTTTTATTTCTGCCTTGCTATTTACCCTACTTACCCCGGCAGGAGAACGACCCAGATTACTCGGCGGAGGTGTTGGACGTAGCCAAGGAACTCTACGATTTTGCTGACAAATTCCGCTTGACCTACGACAAGTCCATCCCTGACGCCAGCGCCTACTACCAGTACGTTGTGTTTCTTCCTTTGTTGCGTCAAATATATATATATATATATATATATATATATATATATATATATATATATATATATATATATATATATATATATATATATATATATATATATATATATATATATATATATATATATATATATGCTGATAACCCCAAGGAAAAAGAAAACCCGAAGTTCCCAAGCGCTTTCGTGTAATTCACATCTTCAGGGGTGAGTACAGACTAAGGAGAAGTACATAACAATGTATATATATACAGAGGAGGGTGAGATCAAGTCCACAATGGTCAGGTATTAGGTAATGACCCTACTAATCTTCAAAAAGCACCGGATTCGGTATGTTTAATGAAACTGGATTCTATAATGTTCCTACTTCTCACCCTCCTCTGTATGTATATATATACCTTGTTATGTACTTCTTAGTCTGTACTCTCCCCTGTAGATGTGAATTACACGAAAGCGCTTGGGAACTTCGTGTTTTCTTTTTCCTTGTTATCAGCATATACCTGGATCAGGCGCACCTATAGTGATTTATTTGCATATATATATATATATATATATATATATATATATATATATTTTGACTATCGCTTTGTCTGTTCCTTCGTCTGTCTATCTATCTATCTATCTTCTTTCGATCTATCTATCTATCGATTTTCTGCCTATCTATCTATCACTATTTGATTACATCCAATATAGTGGATCCTACAGGGTGGCTATAATGAAGGATTCCTCCTTTTTTTTTTTTTTTTTACGGTATTAGCCCACCCAGGCACAGATCACTGACCCACAAAAAGGCCTGGGGGACGAAAATATAATAATAATAATAATAATAATAATAATAATAATAATAATAATAATAATAATAATAATAATAATAATAATAATACAGGGTATAATAATTAAAAATATTAATAATAATAATACAGGGTATAATAATTAAAAAAAATAATAATATAATAATAATAAATAATAATAAATAAAAAATGAACAAAAATAAATACAAATTATAATGAAAATGAAATCAAATAATAATGGTAATAATAATAAAAATAATAACAACAATGATAACCATTGTCATGGATTTTTTTGTAATGTCTAAGTGTGGATTATATTATATCAAGATTATAATATATAAGGTTTCTTATATTTCTTACCGTAGAGTTCGATACCTTCACACTGGTTACTTACAGGAGATTATGGTGTATCTACGTAGAAGTTCACTCCACCACCCGACATTTCATGATTTATACTTGATAAATGATGATTTAATGAGTTCCATTAATTTCCAACATTCATATAAGTTATTGGTTAAACTTTGTCATAACCAATCAGTCATTACCTTTAGTAATAATAAGATAGGATCACAGATACGGGCAAATAATTGCACTTACATTTATTTGTCAAGCTTCCATAAAATGATTTACAATTTGTATGGATATAAGAGTCACTCACATTCACGCTGTAATAAAATGATTCTTCTAAAAGAGGGAATTTTCAACTTGGCGACACATGTGATTACTCTACTATGGGTATAACTTAACAGACCCTTAATCTTCAAGCGATACATTTACTGCCAGCCTGGATTGCTCTTGTTGCAATCAGGCTTCCGCACAAGAACTTCTTTCACGGGGAATAACAACAAAAAGGTACTCTTGGGTTACCACACAGTCTCGCGTCACTGACAGTCACTGTAGACGGTTGTCGCGACAAGAAGAACGGGTAAGAGTGACTTGATTAACCACTTAGGTTCAGTAGGCCAGCCTGAATTGCTCTTGTCACAACCAGGCTTCCACACGTGATTTTTCCATGGGGAATACAAACTTAGGTTAACACACTGAATCTCGTGTCGATCACGATCACTGTAGACGGGTGTCGCGCAGGAGAACTCTGTAAGCGTGACTTGATTATCCATTTACTGTAGGTTTGATAGGCCAGCCTGGTTTGCTCTTGTCGCAACCAGGCATCCACACGTAATATTTCCACGGGGATAACAACCTAGGTTAGCACACTTAGTCTCGTGTCACTGGTGGTACACAGGACAGGGTGGCGGTGGAGGACTCTGTGTGGTGTCCCGTTCCCTTCAGGAGGGAGAGGGTGGGGACGACGTTTTAACTAACCCATGGCCTAGGGGATACTACTCATATTTCGTTTTGGGGCGTGAGGCGATGGACAGTACAACACTATCTCACTGGCCTCCCCCTATCGACTGAGTAACACACTATTAATGGAAATAATATGTCCCAGTCATGGCTCGCCGGTTGCCTTATCTCTAGTAAAACAAACTTTGGAGTTGGTTGCGTAGGTAAGCCTAACGCAACCCATGACAACCATAAATAAATAAAAAAATGAAAAAAATAAATCAAGAGTGAGAAACTATATACAGTATGTATGTTGTGCTGTCAAAGTAAGAGAAACAACTGAGACTCTGCAATTGTGTGTAAATAAGGCAGAAAGTTAGATAAGCAGCCCGGGACTTGGTCACAATTTTTTTTATGCCATATGGCAGCAGGGTCTACCATAGACAACACATTATGCTTTCAATATCTTCCCAGGTGGTAGTACCTTCCTGTTTGATAGCTGCCTACCACCTACAGATTTTTGCTACACTTCCTCCATGTTAGCATCTCGTGCCTCTCCCCCTCACACTCTCTCCCTCACACACTCTCCCTCACACACTCCCTCACACTCTTTCCCTCACACACTCTCCCTCACATACTCTCCCTCACACACTCCCTCACACACTCTCCCTCACACACTCTCCCTCACACTCTCTCCCTCACACTCTCTCCCTCACACACTCTCCCTCACATACTCTCCCTCGTTCTCTTCATCCATTTTGCTCTTAATATTGTATCCCTACTTCTTACACGACTTTTTAAGTCCCCCTCCCCCGCTGTGTATAGAGGGTAGTATAGTGATCTATATCTGTCAGTCTGTATTTAAGCACGCCAGTCTCACCCAGGGTCATGTTTATCACGATGCGCAAAAATAATCAACAATTAAGGCAGAATTTTACCTGATTAGATAGGGTTTTTGGTTGATTTTTGCACCAGAGAGAGAGAGAGAGAGAGTAAAATAAACATGGTGCTGATGGTCCACAGTTCATGGAGTGGGTTCGGAGACGAGCTGTGTTGGGCGGCGCTGTGGCTGGCACGAGCGACTGGCGAAGACACCTACCTTACCCGCGCCAGGGGTCATTGGGAGGAATTCCATCTGGGCAAGGATGCTGTCCTCCAGTTCTCCTGGGATGATAAGAGAGCCGGAGTGTTCGTAAGTCCTTTTGGCTTTGTTTTATGACCCCATGTTTGTTAAGTACTCTGGTGACGCCCTTGTTTGAAGATTACTTAGCTGTCTGGTCAATTCTTGTCAACCACCGGCACCAACTCACTTCTTCCACAGGAGCTGTTTTGGCTACTGGACGGGTCTCAGGAGTACCTGGACGCCCTCAACAAGTACCTGGACTGGCTGAAGGACGGCGCCACCTACACCCCTGAGGGCCTCGTCTTCCTGGACAGTTGGGGCGCCAATCGTCACGCTGCCAACGTTGCCTTTATCTCTCTCTGGGTCAGTCGTTCTCTAAACACGGTCATCAGATCACTTGAAGATTAGACCCTAACTTATTTTACATGGTGGTTAAACACCCTAATGCTCCTTGGTGGGTTAGGTGGGTTAGGTTAGCGTTACGGTGTTTGATCATCAGGTGAAAAAAGCTGGGGGTTAATCATCAGGTGGTATCATTTGTCTTAAGCCAGAGTTCCTTATTTCATTAATTTATGAATAGACGAACAAAGTGTATTTGTTGAAACATGGCAGGTGTGGTTGTTGAGCCGAGGAAAAGGTGGTGAACTTACGTCATAATGTTCTTCCTCTCAGGCGGCCAAGAACGGAATCAACACGGAGGCCAACAGAGAGTGGGCAGCTGGCCAGGTTGACCAGCTCCTGGGGGCCAACTCCCGTCTCAAGATGTCTTTCGTGGTGGGTTATGGCGACAAGTACCCCGAGAGGCCCCACCACCGCTCCAGGTGTGCACGATAAAGACCACCACGCGATAATTTCTGGGATAACGCAAAACTATTGATAGTCGGGCTGGGATACAATACAATACAGTACAGTACAGTAAAATACAATAGTTTACTGTCAACACAGTACACTACAATAGTTTATATATAACATGACGTCACCTTGATTCATTCTAGTTGTTTGAGTCTTGATAATAAAACAAAAATAAATTATACTTGGGTCATCTTAATTTGGGAAATCTTAACTTGCCATGTTAACTTGGCACATCTTAACTTGGGCCATCTTAAATTCGGCTATCTTAACTTAGACTATCTTAACTTAGGCCATCTTAACTTGAGTCAACTTACAATACACTAACCTGGGTGTCGGTCCACAGCTCGTGTCCGTGGCCGCCTAAGGTGTGCGACTACACGTGGGCGTACAGCCAGGACGGCCCTAACCCTCACGTCCTGTACGGAGCCCTCGTTGGTGGGCCCTCCCAGGTGAGTACAGTACCAGGTTAGGCTACGACGCCCCTGTCATTTCCCTTCAGACTGTTCCTTACGTTCCTCTCTCCCCTTAGACCGTTCCTTTCGTTCCTCTCTCCCCTTAGACCGTTCCTTTCGTTTCTCTCTCCCCTCAGAGCGCTCCTCACTTTATTCTCTACCCTCAAACCGTTCCTCACGTTCCTCTGTACCCTCAGACCGTTCCTCACCTTTTTCTATACCCTCAGAACGGCGACTACAAGGACGACCGCGAGGACTTCACTCACAACGAGGTCGCCTGTGACTACAACGCTGCCTTCTCCGGGGCTCTGGCGGCCATGGTCGAGCTGAACTGAGAAGTCCTCCCCACAGTCACCCACCTACCCTGGCACCACCGTCACCCACCTACCCTAGCACCACCGTCACCCACCTACCCTAGCTCCACCGTTACCACCCACCTACCCTGGCATCACCGTCACCCACCTTCCCTGGCACCGTCATCCACCCACCCTGGCACCACCACTAACCTTCAGCCGGGTACCGAGAGTGACAGACATGTTACTCTCAATAACAAACTATAACACATGTTCTCTCTCTGATGATATATATATAAACAAACGGGTGACCTTGACAAGACTGATGCTAAAATTTACCGAACTGGTGCAAAAGTACTAAAGTTAGCATATATTATTAAACTGATGGTTATAGCATAAAAATAAACTGTACTATGATGTAAGTTACTCCGTATAACTTGTATTTCCATTAAATATTAAGATAATGACTGAGATTATTAATGTACACATCATTGTTAACGGAAATGTTTATCTGTAAAGAAGCTGATGGCTAAGAGAACATTGTGTGTATGCGTGTGTGTGCGCGCGCGCGAGCGCTGGAAATCAGGAGTAAACTACATTATCAGTAGAAGTTATAGAGTCCTCGAAACTATACGCTGTTATATAGTTATAACTTGTTTAAACAGTGAAAACTGATGTTCGCTCTCATGTAAACTAGCATCAGCCTAACCTAACTTTACCTAACTTTACTTAACCTAACACAACTTAAACTAAACTAACTCGACCTGATCTAAACTAAGATAAACTAATATCCAATATAACCAAACGTAACCTAACCCAACCTTACTAAATAACCCTAACTTAACCTCAAACTACCTAACCTAACTTAACCTAACCTAACATAACTTAACCTAACCCATCCCAAACATAACTTAACTTCTATCACATTAAGTTACGATACAATGATATATATTTTCTCTGCACTACACAATAGTTAAGGCCATGAATCGTGTGTTAATGAATCAGTAACACCTACGAGACGTGTTACCTGTGAGTGTCTGCCTCGCTCACCACCTGTCCCCATCCACGACCCTTTCACCTATACCGAGTTATTTATTGAGCTTTAGGTGCTGAGAGGAAGTGTGCGCGTGCTCGTGCGTGCGTGTGTGAATAGTAATAATAATAATAATAATAATAATAATAATAATAATAATAAACGGAAAGCTGAAAATATACAGTTGCATAATTGGGGAATGGGTCTCTTGATTGACAGATCATATAAAAATAACATAACATAATATAAATATGATATATAATAACGAGGTGGGAGAAGGTTAGGCATTTCAACATAGTGACACTGCAAAAAGGTAAGATTGACTGGGAGTGAATACATTGGTTAATTATAAGCTATTAATAATTTTTACAATGGTTGGGACTGGGCTGTTCTTATAGCGATCAGTACGTGCTCATATGGGCTGGATGCGGTTGTGGTGTTGAACAGCAATTCTCGGACGTGTGTGTGTGTGTCAAATTATGAATTAATGGCAAATAATTTAGGTGGTGTTTTGTTATTGTACCGCTCACCACCTTGTCGTTCCCACCGCATCTCGTCCATGCCTCGTCCCGCCCCGACTCTCGGTGACACCTTGGCACCCCAAGGACTATAAAATTTGTAATAACAGCCGGAGTAGCAAAAGAATGTCTGGATCACCTGACGATTAAACACCCCAGATTATTTCACCTGATGATTAAACAACCAACCTAACCTTGTGATAGCTGTTTTGGTATCACATTAATTGTTTTAAATAATTCTGGAACTCTTTAAGTGGCTGGGTTTGATGTAAACACTTATAGCTGCTGCTTCTTTATTGTAGAAGCAGCTATATGCACAGATATAATCTTAGAGTATAATTATGAATTCTCTACAGGGAAGTATAGTGAATGCACCGAGATAACACTTGAGTTACGTGTCCGACTTACCTGTCCAAGTGGTAATCGTATACTACTGGCCTCTCTTTCTCTTCGGAGGCGTGGGAGCGAGCTGGCCGTTTTGATTAATCAGCTGACCTGAGCTTAACCTTTGAGGGAGTTACAAGCTCAGCTGTCTGATGTCGCCAACATCATGTTGACTCACATGTTGAAAAACTTGGTTAATAAGTTGGTGTTATTCATTCGGGTGAATATTTATATAGAGCAAAGGTGTTGCTGAAACCAAACCAAACCAAACCTAACCTAACCAAACCTAACCATGAATTGACTAAAAATATAAACTCAAATATCAAACGTCTCATTTTAAGATAAGTCATCATGTGTGTTGAAGCGCCAAAGAGACGGAGAAAGACAGATATATATATATATATATATATATATATATATATATATATATATATATATATATATATATATATATATATATATATATATATATATATATATATATATAGACAGGCAAAGAGACAGACAGATAGGGAGATAAAGACAGACAGACAGAGAATCAAACCGAGAGACAGAAACGAGAGAAAACAGAAAGACCACGAGTCACTGATATAAAGGTCACTTGTGCAGCCATGACAGTGTGTTGGGCATATATACACAGGTGACGGCGACTGAGCTCTCAACACTACCAGCTGACAAGACCACACACCACCTCACTCTACGCTCTCTAATAGTCCGAGACTCACACAGGTACAACCGCAAAAAAAAAAAATCCTTTGTAATGTCTAATAGTTATAGTTTTTTGTTTGCATCTACTTAAGATTGAACTGATTAATGTATACGTGTTTATGGAACGAAATTGTTGATTGATAGAAATCTAAGATCACCTGAAGATTTGCTCCCAGCTTATTTCTCCTGAAGATTAACGATGTTAATGTTGGTGTCAGGGTGGTTATTCTTAAGGTGAAATAAGCGGGGGTGTAATCTTCAGTTGATTCGATGTCTATAATAATTACAAAACTCATTCAAGGTCCACACGACCATACCTACTGAGACCACCTAGAATCCTAGATTATATGAACCAGAGTAGCTGCCAGTACTGTGGGGCTACATGAAAAATTCGATAATGAACAAACTAATATTCTTATGCTGAGACAAGGAGTGCAGCTACAAAAACAGTTCCTGTACAAATACTGATACAATACCAGTTCAGGTAAAAGTACATACATTAATACAGCAAGAGTATTGGTAGATGTGTGTACAAGCGCTGGTGTATGCTGAACAAATTGTTTAGTATTGCTGCAAATTTTTAGCGTCAAATAACATTATTATTATTATTGTTATTATTTTATTACATTATTATTATTATTATTATTATTTTATTACATTATTATTATTATTATTATTATTATTATTATTATTATTATTACATTATTATTATTATATTATTATTACATTATTATTATTATTATTATTATTATTATTATTATTATTATTATTATTATTATTACTGTATTATTATTATTGTTGTTATTTCCAGACTCTGGCTCAGCACCTTCTGCCAACAGCCACTGGACGATGTGGATGGTGATGTTTCTGCTGGCTGCCAAACTCTCTTTAGGGTGCGGCACGGAGGACCTGCTGACACCTGACCACTACAGTGTGAGAGAAGCAAACACCAGGGCTCTACAGAGTGTTTCCTCGGGGTCTGTTTCTCTCTTTGATACCAAATTGGTGGAGGAGAGAATGAGAGACGACACCGACTCCAAAGGGCACCCGAGAGTGAGGTTTCCTCATCACTTTGGAGGCCATAAAGACGTGAGAAGAGTACTAGACAACACTGACAGGCGAGAACACTTACCTGTAGATATTCTCTTGTCACTAAAGCCAACAATTCTAGAGGACAAGATTCCTGTCATTCTTCACGACTCGGAGAGAATGACCGTGAGTGTCCTCGACCAGTACCTTCACGCCCGACCTCACCTCCCCACTGTGATCTGTGACATCTCTGACGACGCCCTCCTGAAGGCGGATTGGTTGGATCAATACAACGCGGCGTTGTTCCTCCATATCCTTCTCTTCAGCTCAGTAAATATTGTGGAGTCTTTTGCAAAGGGACTTCCAGAGCGGATGTGGATCCCGAGTCACCTCCTGCTAATTAACGTCAACGCCTCCGTCGACGCTTCCCGTCTATTGGCTCAGGAGAACTTCAGCTACAGTCCTTCCCTCACGCTGCTGCAGCCTGACATGAGGAAAGAAGAGACCCGCTACCTCATCCTCACTCACGAGATCTTCCGCCCCAACAATAAGATCACCAGTCATGGCGTATTCAGTTTTGACCATCGGCAGACCTACTCCACTGTCTTTCCCGACCGGTTCTCCACCTTCTATGGGTATAACCTGCACCTGGCTAGCTGGGTTAATGACTTCCCTTACTTGGTGCCCGGCACCACGCTGGAACAAACCTCAGGGATATGTGCCAACATGCTCGGCGAGATCTCTCAAAAACTGAACTTCAGCGTGACTTACTACACGGAGCCTGACGACCACCTGTGGGGTGAGGAGGTGAACGGGTCGTGGGTCGGTATGATCGGTGAAGTCTGGCGCCGGGAGAAGTGAGTCGGTTGTAAACAGTTTGTTAGATAACAATAATATTAGTCTAAGTCACAGGACGTGTGACAGGTAATGTTGACATCTGTTCGTCTATACACCAGAAATTAGGCATAAATTTTTATAGGTGTCAGTGGTTTATTTTTTGTTAGCTATACGGCTGTCAGGTGCCACGCCTCTCTTTATTTTTATTTTATTCATTTTTTTTATCTTGGACAACTGATTATCGCTTCATCTCCGTTGTCTTTATCTTCTTACAAACTTTTCTCAACAGCCGCTGAAAGAAAGTGACCCATTGAGATTCTACCTCAGTGGAATTTTTTTTTCTTGTCTTGGTGTGAAAGTCAATCATTTCACTCCTCTCCTCCCCGCGTTGCAGGGACCTGTGTGTCAACGTGATGGTCATCCAACACGACAGGTTCGAGGCGGTCGACTTCAGTGTGTCCTACTTCATGGACTCCTTCAGTTTCCTGATTCGTAACCCCCTTCCTCCCCCTCGCTGGTGGTCCATAGTGCTGCCCTTCACGTGAGTTAACACACACACACACCCACACCCACACAGGTACGTCAAGTTTTCCAGGTAATTGAGTTTCAAAGATTCACGTGTTTAATTTTGTACCTATGAGAAGACGCTATAAGATATTGTTTCCCCAAAAGTCAGTGCAATTGTCATATACTGATTGACTTAAATAAACCAGGGAAGGGGGCTCTGACATTACTAATTAGTAATTAGTAATGTCAGAGCCCCCTTCCCTGGTTAAGATGTAATAGTTGGGGGTTAATCTTCATGTGGTCCCCCCAAAATTAACTTTAGGAATTCTTTATTACTGGTCTCAGGTAGAGTCCCTACATATGTAGGGAGTCTAGTCTCAGGTGTACACGTCTCCGGTAGGTGGCAGACGTGGGTGGGTGTGCTCGCATCTGTCATCGTCGTCTCGGCAGTCCTCGTCTTCATCCTCAAATTACTCTCTCAGCTCAGGGTGAGGAACCAACCTAACCCAACCCAAATTAATTCTGTAGAGCAGTGGTTCCAAACCGGGGAGTGTGAGGCCATGTTAAAATATGAAGTAATTGCCTGTCCCTCCATATTCTCCTCCCCGGCTCGGCAGTCACCACACGACGGGCCGTTTTTACTTCGATAACTTAGTCTTTTCTGCTTCCTTTTGCTTTCATTGTTATAAGAATAACACAGATAAATATTTTTATAGCGTGAGGAACACGATAGAAGTTGATTATTTTGTTCTTTATTAGGAAACTTTCGATGATATTGTGTAAATTAATATTTCTTAGTATGTTTAAATCGTCCCCACATGCACGAGATAACAGATTAAATAATTACAAGTCAGTTGATTTTGAACAATACAAGGAATATACAGTAAGTACGACTACAAGGTGTAAAATTTATTAAAAGTTGATTATATTTATTTGGAAAAAATGGGAAAAAGAGGGGGGGGGGGATATTTGGTAAAACCCAAAGGGGGGCGTCATGTGAAAAAGTTTGGGAGCCACTGCAGTTTAGAGTTAAATAAAATCGTCTTCCGTTAACCAGAACCAAATACCTTAGTGTATCGCTGTCTAACCTAACCAATCCTAACTTATCTTAACCTAACCCAATCTGAACTTACTTCTCCTAGCTTAACCTAAACTAACCCAAGTTAACCTAACCTAACCTTCCAGGTGCTATAACTAACCCACAGGTGTTATAATTGAGCCAGGTGCTATAACTAAGCCACATGTGTTATAATTAAGCCAGGTGTTATAACTAAGCCACAGGTGTTATAATTGAGCCAGGTGCTATAACTAAGCCACAGGTGTTATAATTGAGCCAGGTGCTATAACTAACCCACAGGTGTTATAATTGAGCCAGGTGCTATAACTAACCCACAGGTGTTATAATTGAGCCAGGTGTTATAACTAAGCCACATGTGTTATAATTAAGCCAGG